TCGGAGAAGTCTCGGGCAAGGAGACACGGGGCCAGAGGTTGAGCTGATGCGCAGCGTATCGGACTGCAAACGGCCACAGAAAGTGGGGGGCAGCCGCATGAACCAAGGAGGTACGAGCGACCTCCATGACCAAGCCAATGCGGCGCTCAGCAACCCCATTCTGCTGTGGAGAGGCCGGAAGCGTGAACGACTGCTCAATGCCCTCCTGCTGACAGAAGGCCTCCAAGAGGCCAGAGGAAAACTCTCCACCTCTGTCAGAGTGCAGACGCAGGACAGGGAAGTCGGAGTGGAAACGCTCACTGAGCTGGAGACGAGATCTGCGGATCCAAGGGATCAAGACATCAGGGACGTCACCCTTGGTGCGCAAGGGGAAGACCGTGGTGTAGCGTGAGAAGTCGTCAACAACAATCAGGAAGTACCTCTCCTGACCCTGGCCACGGACGCGGGCTGGGCCCCACACGTCCATGTGGAGCGTCTGCAAAGGAGCAGTCGTCGGGGGAAAGGAGGAGGAGTGAGGAGCGGCGCGCTGCCGCCCCTCGACACAGGGAAGACAGGGAGGAGCAGGCGAGGCTGGAAGGGGAGGGAGCACCCTGGGAAGACCAGCAACAAGGTCCCGTTTGTGCATGGCCCGAAGGCGCTGCACAGACGGGTGACCAAGGGAGAAGCAAGGGAGACAGCAACTGGCCGAGCGAGTGGCTCCAGCCACCTCCACCCCTGCCGCCGCCACGACCACCTCCGCCTCCGCTGCCGCCTCCACCACCACTCCCACCGCTGCTGTCTCCTCCCCCACTGCCGCCACCAGTCTCCCCAGCCGCGCCTCCACTCCCACCGCCTCCACCCCCACCTCCTCCGCCGCCACCCCCACCCCTGCCCCCCTTGTTCCTGCGGCGCCCACTCGAAGCAGACGCGGTCCCGACCTTCTCAGCACCAAGAAGGTCGACAGCAGCAGCAGAGGCGACAGAGGGGAGGAGGGGGGAAGGGGAACACCCCTCAAAGAACGGGGTGCGGGGGTCGCCACGAGAGGTGCCTACAGTGACGATGCTCGCCTCAGCTGCAAGCAGTTCCTTCTCGAGGAGGGCAACAGTGAGCTCAGTGGGGGAGCGAGAGAGGAAGTGGTCCCTGACTGCGCACAAAGAGTCAGGAAGGCGGGTGACGATGTGGTAGAGAGTGATCCAGAGCGGGGGGGGTTGCTAGTGAGAAACTCGGCAGGCATAGCAGCGCGAAAGCGGGCCTCACTAGTCTTAAGGTGGGTGATGAGGTCTGCGACAGTGTGAAAGGAGGCTAGGTCGGGGAACAGGTAGGGGAGAGTGAGGCGGCCTAGCGTGGCAGAAGCGGGCGAGGAGTAGCGGGCAACTACAGCGGTGTAGAGGTCCTTAGCAGTCTTGCACTGGCCGAAGTGCTCGCGCTCGTCTAGCGGCAGGGAGTTGCGAATAGCAAAGCGAGCGTGCGCATCACGGGTCTGCCACTGGGAACGCAGAGTGCTGTCAGCAGTCGAGTCAGGGGCAGTGGCATGGCCTAGGGCGTGGTCGTACAGTGAGATATCTTCCTTGGCAGTGAGCTGTAGGAACAGGTGCAGGTCATCTAGCCAGGTTTCGAACTTCACCGGACGGCCCTCGGCATCGAAAGCTAGAACTGGCGGGCTAGCCATAGTGACAGTAGCAGTAGTAACAGTAGTAGTAGGAATCAGGCCGCTGAAAAGGTGTGCGGAGGGTCAACGGGGCCGGCGGGGCCGCTAGGCAAGGCGCGGGCGGGGTCGACTGTCCGTAGTGGCACACGAGCGGCAGTAGTAGGTAGCGTGGCAGTAGGAGCTGCAACGGTGCACTGGTGGCAGCTGCAGTGGCAGCAGTGTGCGCGGTAGGTAGAAGATAAACAACAGTGAGAGCGAGTGCCTCGCGGGCGGCGGCTGCAGAAGCGCACGGGCGGCAGCGGCGCACTGGGAACGGCGGTGCACGGGCAGCGGCAGCGCACGGGCAGCGGCAGCGTAGGAGCAGCGACAGCGCACGGGCAGCGGCGGCGCACAGGCAGCGGCGGCGCTCGGGAGGCAGCAGTGCGCAAGCAGCAGCGGAAGCAGCGGCGTACGAGCGGCTGCGGGCAGCGGGGCGTGCGCTAGCAGGCGACGGGCGGCTGCGGGGCGTGCGCGAGCAGGCGACGGGCGGCTGCGGGGCGTGCGCGAGCAGGCGACGGGCGGCTGCGGGCGGGCGGCCGCTGCGACAGCGGGCTGCGGGCCTGCGGGACGTGCGCGAGCAGGCGACGGGCGGCTGCGGGGCGTGCGCGAGCAGGCTACGAGCGGCTGCGGGGCGTGCGCTAGCAGGCGACGGGCGGCTGCGGGGCGTGCGCGAGCAGGCGACGGGCGGCTGCGGGGCGTGCGCGAGCAGGCGACGGGCGGCTGCGGGGCGCGCGCGAGCAGGCGACGGGCCGCGCGCGAGGGAAATAAGGCGCGCGCGGGAAAAAAAAGACCGCGCGCGAGCGGCTAAGGGGCGGCGCGACGGGGCCTTAAGGGGCGGGTCGCGGGTCGCGGGAGGTAGGGGCCGTAAAAAAAGTTCGAGGCGCCCTAGGTAGGTAGGTAGGTAGGTAGGGAACGGTGGGCCCTTAAAAAAAAAAACGGTCCTAGCGAAGGACCTGCTCTGAAACCATGTCAGAATGAACGGACAGGAATGACTGTACTAGCACAAAGTTGGATACAAGTAGTAAACCCTAATCTAGTGTACCCCCTAAGGTGTAACCCACTACAGCCTACAATCATATAAACATATAATGTTTGACAGCAGGTAGGGCGGCGCGCGGGGCTGCGGCGGGTCGCGCGCGGGCTGCTGAGGCACGGCGCGGGCTGCGCGGGCGGTGCGCGGGGCAGCAGTGGGCGACGCGACGGGCAGGCAGCCCGTACGGGCGACGCGACAAGCTGGGACAGCCCGTACGGGCGACGCGACGGGCAGGCAGCCCGTACGGGCGACGCGACGGGCTGGGACAGCCCGTACGGGCGACGCGACAGGCAGGCAGGGCGGACGGGCGACGCGACGGGCTGGGACAGCCCGTACGGGCGACGCGACGGGCAGAGGCAGGGCAGACGGGCGACGCGACGGGCTGCAGGGGCGCACGGCGCGACGGGCAGCGGGGCAGCAGCGGGCCGCGTAGGCGACGGACGCGACGCGCGGGGCAGCAGCGAGGTGCGCGCAGAATTAGGGTTCGCACGCGCGGGCAGCGCAGCGCAGGCAAGGCAAGGCGCAGGCAAGGCAAGGCGCGCGCGGGCAGCGCAGCGCAGGCAAGGCAAGGCGCGCGCGGGCGGCGCAGCGCAGGCAACACGTGGGGCAGCTCAGTAACCACAACGGTAGGTGGGCCCGAAAAAAAAACGGTCCTACGGACCTACTGCTCTGAAACCATGTTAGAAACTACAGGCAGGAATGATTGGATTGAAAGAAGCAATTGTGGGTACAAGTACTAACCCTAATTATGGGTTGTACCCATACGGGCTACCCCAGTACAGCCTACACAAAGCTAACACATGTATTATTTGGCATGTCTACGCCAAAACGAATCTGAGGCCCTGAATCAGGGGTTTTTTTTTTTCCGTTTTTCATTGCTCGGACGTTCGGGGTTGTTTTTTGTTAAACTCTGAAACTCAGGGTTGATCCTGAGCGTTACTCTGATTTGTCAGAGTTGATCCTGAGCGTTATTCTGAACTTCTTAAAAAATAACCCTGCACAGTCAGTGTAACTATTTTCTTTATTCAGTACTCTCTCCAAGTGTTGAACCCTGCACCTTCGCGTTCCCACAAAATGATGCACCGCTGTGCTACTTCTATAACAACAGCTTGCTCATTAATTTTATCTATAACATTCAAAGCTACATCCGTGTGACTGACCATCTGACGCAAGCAAACAAGGGGGGTACGCTTGGCTCGCCTGTACCCGGTACAGAGGAAACGGTAATCTCCTGAAAGTTACACTGAGGCATCAGAGTCCTTTACAAGATTACTCTAACAAATCAGAGGAAAGGTAACTCCCTTAAAAAATACCCAGCAAGGTACAGAGTACCCTATAAAAGAGCACTCTGATTTTCAGAGAAACAGAGTAATTTACTCTGATAAAAAAAACCCTGCCCTAAATGCATGTACCATGCACAACTAGAATGCCTATATCTGCCGAATTACATAGATCCGCGTCAGTTTGGTCTGTATGCGGTCACAATCACCATGCTATAAGGGACGGCGCTTACCTATCCGGGGCCATACGGTATTCAGGGCTCTGGCTAGGTTTTTGGCCCGTCTGAAATGAAAGTACGAGGAAAATTTTCGTCTGAAGGAAATATGAGCAAACTCAGGTGGTCTGATTTTCTAGATGAAACATCAACACTTGTCTGAATTTCCAGACAAGAACTATACCAGATCTCCGAACATTCTGTGCAACAGCAGGAATCGAACCCTGTACAGCAAGCTTCGGTACTTGTCTGTTTCAAGATTGAAACATACTCTCTGTCTTGAGTACTCAGACGAGTTATAAGCCCTTAGACTTATTTTTCAGATGAATCAAAATGCTTTATCTGAGAGATCATACGAACATAAATGACTTGTCTGGAAAATCATATGAACACAAAAAATCGTGTCTGAAAATCAGACAATCAGACAAAATTTGTCTGATAACCAGAGCCCTGACGGTATTCCCATCTCTGTCATTTTACATTCACTCTTGCGATACCTGAGCTCAACACTTCAGCTGCAATGCTACCAGCGATCAACCCTGAGCCGTTCCCTGGCCAAGTCATGTTTATGAGTGTAACAATTTTATGGTATGTAGTTGCGCTAGTCATCCTAAGAATGTGTGCCCTTCACCTTCTTCCACTAGATACTTTCATAAATGGTAACAACAAATGTCTCGCATTTGAAGAAGCACAACAATGCCTCCAGAGCATGGGAATATGCAAGCGGCTTGTTTGTCGCGATCAGACGACTTTCCCTTGTATAACATATATTGACTCTGCAACGTGCATCACCTCCCTCCGTTGCTCTAGACCCTCCTCTCATCTCCATGCTCATCCCCATCCCCATGCCCATGCCCATCCCCGTCCCCATTGGCATGCTCCTCCGAGTTACCTTTGTCAAACCCGTGTGCCTCATCATCCCTCTCCTCATCCAGGCGGGTGGGGAAGAACTCCTCCCCGGGGGCAATGCGCGTGAAGATCTGCCCGCATCGCAAGCCAAAGGCAGGCGGAAACAGTACAGGCAAGAAGAGATTCCAGAGATTGTGTGGATTAGAAGAACCCTGTCTGCCACATCATCATCCATCACCATCCACCAGAATAGTGCCATCTCTCCATCATCACTGCCATCTCTCCGTCATCACAATGTCATCTCAGCCACCAGTGTCATCCCAGCCTTACAATAACATTCCAGCCATTACAGTAACATCTCGAGCATTACAGTTTCATCGCAAGCAGCAGCAGCATGGGTGCAAGGGCTCACCTGCTGGGCCTCCTCGACCACTGACTGCAGGTGCAGGGAGTCGCTCGGAGCACTGCATGCAAACACGCCCTCCGGCACCTGCCGTGGGGGGGAGAGCATCGGGAATCCTGCGTCGAGAATTCTGCTGCATGAATAGTGCACAAAGCACGGTGCACGGTGCATCACACATGGTGCACGAGTGTCCCATCGCCCATACCTGCACACTGCGGGCATGCCATGGCCCATACCTGCACACTGCGGGCATGCCATGGCCCATACCTGCACACTGCGGGCATGCCATGGCCCATACCTGCACACTGCGGGCATGCCATGGCCCATACCTGCACACTGCGGGTGTCCAGCAGGCGTTGCGAGAAGAACACAGCCCACAGCGCAGTGGGCCTCCCCTTCCCCGCTGCCTCCTCTCCATGCTCCTCGCCCGCCCCCGCCTCTGACCCCACCTGCTCTGATACCATACGGTTGGATGACGCCGTTTCCTCCCCTCCTTCATCTCCCTCTCCTCCCCCCTGCCCGCCCACCCCTCTCTCCCCATTCTCCTCCGCACCCACTCCCTCTGCTTGCTTGCTCCTGCCACCCCCCTCACTCACACCTCCAGCAGCAGCAGCAGCAGAATGAGTGGTGGGGGAGGAGTGTGGCAATGAAGTGAGGGCAGCAAGCACGGGCAGCAGCAGGGCGCGAGGGCAGTGGGAGGGGAGGCAGCGGGTGGAGAGATACAGCAGGTACCTGCAGTGCAGGAGCGGGGGGGGGGGTGTGGTGTGATGGTGATGGGAGACGGCAATCGAGAATGAAGGGGACCCACACGAGAGGGGGGGGAGTGCCATGCTGTAGACTAGTATGGTAGGTACTGTTGGTGCAACCCTACGGCTTGCACTCGGCTTGTTGTCCGTGTGCGTGTGCGTGCATGCGTGTGTGCATGGAGTGGCATGAGTGCATGAAATAAATATATATTTCATGCTTATAATGGTGTGTGAATGATGGGTCATGATGTCGAGTGTGTGTGTCGAGTCAATAGCGAGTTATCGCTAGCCGCGTGTCAATGCGGTCATTTGTGTCTCGCGCGCGGTTTCTATTTTGTCGTGTGTCCCGTGCGCGGTTTCTATTTTGTCGCTTGTCGAACGTTCGGCGTGTCGCAGGTGTGTGCAGCAGACCCATCAAGAACTCAAGGTTGAGTTTGTGATGAGAAACCCGAGCCTTGGTTGCAAGCTTCAAGTGATTTCGAAGCTCGCCGAAAGGGTACACCTCAAGATATTCAAGATTGTTACATTACAATGTGTAGTGTAACATTTCAGTTGGTGTAGGCCCTTGTGAAGGGTAGTTTCGAGACCCTTCTTGGTTAGGGACAGTGTGGCACTGTTCCCCATCAGTGTACATCGGCTCTTGGGGTTTGTAGGAGCTGGGAGTCATTCCCAACTCGTAACTCTTCCTAGTTGTTCGTAATTGTGTGTCCTAAGACTATGTTGCTGCCATAGTGCCGTTCGTTCAATCTGACGCTGTGTCGTCAATTCTTGATGAAATCGTGCGATCTAAATTGCCTATTGTAGGCGACGTTAAGACGCTCCAGATCCAAGTTGAATGAGGTCGTTTGGAGCTGTGACCAGATCGCTATGATCGTTTAAAACCGCTGTGCAGAAATCTGACTGCGCACTCTATCTTTTGTTTTAGGCACATTGAAGCCACCACATATCGATCCGTATTTCATGCTTCTTTTGACTAGTATGAGTCCCATTTCCCCACACACGGCTTTCACAGTCTTCTTTCCAATCTCCCCTCTCTTCTGCTCCTGCACCTGCCTCTGCCTCCCTCCAAACCCTCCCCTCGCCCCTCACTCACGCACCTTCCGACCCCCCACTTCTCACCTCCCCAATCTCCCTCTCTCCAGGAGGTGCTATCAGCGGTGGCCAAGGGGGCAGTGGGGCACGAGGCAGAGGCAGCCCTAGCAGACGTGCTCAACGCGCTCTGCTGCACGCATCCTCGCGAGTGTGAGGCTGCAGTCATTGCTACACTCACCGGTCCTGCCTCGCCGTGCCGTCGTGCGGAGCTCTCCCCCCGGCATATCGAGCTCTTTGTTGCAGCCGCCACACGCCAACCGCCACATCCCCGCCGCCGCTTCCACTGTAAGAGGCGCATTTCCTGTTGAATCCTTGCGTGCTGTTTCCAGTCTTGAATCCTTGCGTGCTGTTTCTAGTCTTGTGTGGTGAGTAGCTGCGTGGGTGAATACCTCGCGCCCTCTCTCTCCCTCCTCCTGTTTTCCCTCTTTGTTTCGTTCTTTGTTTCTCTTGTTCTTTTTCTTTTGTCCCATGTGTGTTCAAGCGACTTTCACCTGCTGCTCCTTTTCGTTGTTTCCTTGTCTCAGGCTTGATGTCTGATTTTGGCAAAGTGACGAGTGCACTGATGCCGCCTGAGGCTTTTGAAGGTTACTATTTTTTGTGACTATAACAGGTACTGCCATCCGTGTTTCACTGTTCCCACCAGTCTTTCTATTGTTGTACCCCAATGCTTATATCAATAGGGAACCATTCGAGGGGAGAGTGTGTGTGTGCAGCGCAGTGCGTGGGAAGCAGGAAGGGAGTGCGAGCAAGGAATACGAGCACTCACTTCCCTTGGGGGCACACAGCACATTGCGATGACAGCTGGCACACTCTCACTGGCTGCTCCGGACGCCCTGGTGCCAGTGCTGGCGGAGGGAGAGTGGGAGGAAAGTGCAGGGCGAGATGTGGGCGAGAGGGATGGGTTAGGTGGGTGAGGGGTGAGAGACACGTTGCATGGGAAAGAGAATGAGACGAGCTGGGAGCCAGAGAAGGGCAGTCTTGCCTACACCTCTCAGCAGCTACACTCACACGTGGGCGGCAGCACTCACATGTGGGCGGCAGCACAGCAACGAGAGTGTGCATGTGTTGATGCAGGGAACCGTCGGTGATGCAAATGCAGCGCGCCACCACCCCCTCCCCCTGCTCCTCCTCCTCTTCCCCCCTCTCCCCTCCGGCACTTGTCTTGCCTGCGCTGTCCAGACCACCACCAGCGCCGCCACCGCCACCGTGAGACTGAGACCCCGCCACGCCTGGGCTCGTCCCTACCCCACCCACACACGTGTCACTGCCACCTGCTGCGCTCCCACGTGCTTCAACACTGCCGCTCACTGCTGCGGGCTCTGCTGAGGGTGGTGCTGCGGGTGGTGCGGCGGATGGTGCGGGGGGCAGTGGGTTGGGGAGGAAGGAGGGGCCGAGGAGCACGAGGGGCGAGCCCAGCAGCTGCCCGTCCTCCAACGCCACTCCCTCACACCGCCCCGTGTGCTGGGGGGGGGGAGGGGGGGGAGGGGGGGGGGAAGGGGGGATGCGCCGCGGGAGGGGATTGGTACATGGGGCAAAGACGACGGGGGAAATTCTGGTAGATGGTGAGGGATGCGGCTCCGGGTGAGTGTGGGCAGGTGATTCAGAGACTTGTGACACGTGATTCAGAGACGTGTGAACGTGTGATACGTATGGAGCATAGATGCCATTCATTGCTGCTCCTTGCAGGTCCAGCCCTTGGTGCAGGTGCGGGTGCAGGTGCGGGTGTATGTGTGCATGTGCATGTGCGTGTGCATGTGTGTGTGCATGTGCGTGTGTATGTGCGTGTGCGTGTGCATGTGCGTGTGCATGTGCGTGTGCATGTGCGTGTGCAGGTGCAGGTGCGGGTGCAGGTGCGGGTGCAGGTGCGGGTGCAGGTGCGGGAACAGGTGGAGGGTGGCGCGCGCAGAGAAAAGTAAGGGTTGGCACGCACTGCATTCACTAGAAGAGACGCCACTGGCCGACGCAGCACCTGCAGTAGCAGCACGCAGCACACAGCATGTGACACAGAGAAGGCGGGAAGAGGGATGGGTGGAGCAATCAGCAGCGGGAATGCTGCCAGCAAACAGAGTAGCGAGGAGACTGAGGAGCAGCATGCAACATGGTGAAGAGCAGCAGTGGGGGCATGAGGCAGAGTGGGGGTATGATGCACCGTGGGGGCATGAGGCAAGGGGGAACAGGCAGCATGAGGGGTGCATGTGGCATGCGGGGGGCAGCACTGACATAGAGGGCGCCTTTGACGGCAGCGAGGCGGCAGAAGGCCTGGGCGAGCTCGCCCATGCCGTACAGCGCCACCATCATGCCCGCCTCCGTGCCGTACCTGCCATGCCATGCCATGCCATGCCATGCCATGCCGTGCCATGCCGTGCCATGCCGTGCCATGCCGTGCCATGCCATGCCATGCCATGCCATGCCGTGCCATGCCGTGCCATGCCCATGCCCATGCCCATGCCCACGCACACGTGCGCACGGGAGCAGAGCTGCACAACCATTAAAAAAAGCTGCATATGGAAGGGGCTGGCGCGTGACAGGGCGTGGCGAATGCAGTGGTGAGCTGCCCTGCCCTGAGGGCCAGCATATGCGGGCAACCACCGCTTCACACCCACCCCTGTGCCGTGCCAGCACAATGCACACAGCGGCCACCCAGCACGCAGGCAGCAGCCTGCACCCACCCAGCAGGCAGCAGCCAGCACCCACCCAGCAGGCAGCAGCCAGCACCCAGCACCCACCGGCCGACGGAATTGAGGAAGAGTGCCATGCGAGCCAACCCCTCCGCCGCTGTCACCACGCCCCCCCGCATCCCCTCCCCTCCTCCCCCTCCCCCGCTGCTGCCACTGCTGGCACTGGTGGCAGCGGTGGCAGCAGTGGCAGGGGGTGAGGGGTGCTGGTTGCATGGCAGCAGGGCGATGGCGTACAGAATGAAGCTGCGCGGGGCACAGGGGGCCGGCGGGCCGGAGAGGAGGGGAGGGGGGGGAGGGGGGGGAGTGGAGGGTGAGAGAGGTTGGACGCATGAGTGGTGGATAAGCAATGGGGTTGAGGGGGGGGATAGAAGCATGGCGGATAGAAAGGGCGGTGGGGGATGGAGGAGACACGACCAGAGCACACAGGTGGCGTGGCGTGGGTAGGTGAGCAGGCACGAGGGTGAGCAGGCACGAGGGTGAGCAGGCACGAGGGTGAGCAGGCACGAGGGTGAGCAGGCACGAGGGTGAGCAGGCACGAGGGTGAGCAGGCACGAGGGTGAGCAGGCACGAGGGTGAGCAGGCACGAGGGTGAGCAGGCACGAGGGTGAGCAGGCACGAGGGTGAGCAGGCACGAGGGTGAGCAGGCACGAGGGTGAGCAGGCACGAGGGTGAGCAGGCACGAGGGTGAGCAGGCACGAGGGTGAGCAGGCACGAGGGTGAGCAGGCACGAGGGTGAGCAGGCACGAGGGTGAGCAGGCACGAGGGTGAGCAGGCACGAGGGTGAGCAGGCACGAGGGTGAGCAGGCACGAGGGTGAGCAGGCACGAGGGTGAGCAGGCACGAGGGTGAGCAGGCACGAGGGTGAGCAGGCACGAGGGTGAGCAGGCACGAGGGTGAGCAGGCACGAGGGTGAGCAGGCACGAGGGTGAGCAGGCACGAGGGTGAGCAGGCACGAGGGTGAGCAGGCACGAGGGTGAGCAGGCACGAGGGTGAGCAGGCACGAGGGTGAGCAGGCACGAGGGTGAGCAGGCACGAGGGTGAGCAGGCACGAGGGTGAGCAGGCACGAGGGTGAGCAGGCACGAGGGTGAGCAGGCACGAGGGTGAGCAGGCACGAGGGTGAGCAGGCACGAGGGTGAGCAGGCACGAGGGTGAGCAGGCACGAGGGTGAGCAGGCACGAGGGTGAGCAGGCACGAGGGTGAGCAGGCACGAGGGTGAGCAGGCACGAGGGTGAGCAGGCACGAGGGTGAGCAGGCACGAGGGTGAGCAGGCACGAGGGTGAGCAGGCACGAGGGTGAGCAGGCACGAGGGTGAGCAGGCACGAGGGTGAGCAGGCACGAGGGTGAGCAGGCACGAGGGTGAGCAGGCACGAGGGTGAGCAGGCACGAGGGTGAGCAGGCACGAGGGTGAGCAGGCACGAGGGTGAGCAGGCACGAGGGTGAGCAGGCACGAGGGTGAGCAGGCACGAGGGTGAGCAGGCACGAGGGTGAGCAGGCACGAGGGTGAGCAGGCACGAGGGTGAGCAGGCACGAGGGTGAGCAGGCACGAGGGTGAGCAGGCACGAGGGTGAGCAGGCACGAGGGTGAGCAGGCACGAGGGTGAGCAGGCACGAGGGTGAGCAGGCACGAGGGTGAGCAGGCACGAGGGTGAGCAGGCACGAGGGTGAGCAGGCACGAGGGTGAGCAGGCACGAGGGTGAGCAGGCACGAGGGTGAGCAGGCACGAGGGTGAGCAGGCACGAGGGTGAGCAGGCACGAGGGTGAGCAGGCACGAGGGTGAGCAGGCACGAGGGTGAGCAGGCACGAGGGTGAGCAGGCACGAGGGTGAGCAGGCACGAGGGTGAGCAGGCACGAGGGTGAGCAGGCACGAGGGTGAGCAGGCACGAGGGTGAGCAGGCACGAGGGTGAGCAGGCACGAGGGTGAGCAGGCACGAGGGTGAGCAGGCACGAGGGTGAGCAGGCACGAGGGTGAGCAGGCACGAGGGTGAGCAGGCACGAGGGTGAGCAGGCACGAGGGTGAGCAGGCACGAGGGTGAGCAGGCACGAGGGTGAGCAGGCACGAGGGTGAGCAGGCACGAGGGTGAGCAGGCACGAGGGTGAGCAGGCACGAGGGTGAGCAGGCACGAGGGTGAGCAGGCACGAGGGTGAGCAGGCACGAGGGTGAGCAGGCACGAGGGTGAGCAGGCACGAGGGTGAGCAGGCACGAGGGTGAGCAGGCACGAGGGTGAGCAGGCACGAGGGTGAGCAGGCACGAGGGTGAGCAGGCACGAGGGTGAGCAGGCACGAGGGTGAGCAGGCACGAGGGTGAGCAGGCACGAGGGTGAGCAGGCACGAGGGTGAGCAGGCACGAGGGTGAGCAGGCACGAGGGTGAGCAGGCACGAGGGTGAGCAGGCACGAGGGTGAGCAGGCACGAGGGTGAGCAGGCACGAGGGTGAGCAGGCACGAGGGTGAGCAGGCACGAGGGTGAGCAGGCACGAGGGTGAGCAGGCACGAGGGTGAGCAGGCACGAGGGTGAGCAGGCACGAGGGTGAGCAGGCACGAGGGTGAGCAGGCACGAGGGTGAGCAGGCACGAGGGTGAGCAGGCACGAGGGTGAGCAGGCACGAGGGTGAGCAGGCACGAGGGTGAGCAGGCACGAGGGTGAGCAGGCACGAGGGTGAGCAGGCACGAGGGTGAGCAGGCACGAGGGTGAGCAGGCACGAGGGTGAGCAGGCACGAGGGTGAGCAGGCACGAGGGTGAGCAGGCACGAGGGTGAGCAGGCACGAGGGTGAGCAGGCACGAGGGTGAGCAGGCACGAGGGTGAGCAGGCACGAGGGTGAGCAGGCACGAGGGTGAGCAGGCACGAGGGTGAGCAGGCACGAGGGTGAGCAGGCACAACGGTGAGCAGGCACGAGGGTGAGCAGGCACGAGGGTGAGCAGGCACGAGGGTGAGCAGGCACGAGGGTGAGCAGGCACGAGGGTGAGCAGGCACGAGGGTGAGCAGGCACGAGGGTGAGCAGGCACGAGGGTGAGCAGGCACGAGGGTGAGCAGGCACGAGGGTGAGCAGGCACGAGGGTGAGCAGGCACGAGGGTGAGCAGGCACGAGGGTGAGCAGGCACGAGGGTGAGCAGGCACGAGGGTGAGCAGGCACGAGGGTGAGCAGGCACGAGGGTGAGCAGGCACGAGGGTGAGCAGGCACGAGGGTGAGCAGGCACGAGGGTGAGCAGGCACGAGGGTGAGCAGGCACGAGGGTGAGCAGGCACGAGGGTGAGCAGGCACGAGGGTGAGCAGGCACGAGGGTGAGCAGGCACGAGGGTGAGCAGGCACGAGGGTGAGCAGGCACGAGGGTGAGCAGGCACGAGGGTGAGCAGGCACGAGGGTGAGCAGGCACGAGGGTGAGCAGGCACGAGGGTGAGCAGGCACGAGGGTGAGCAGGCACGAGGGTGAGCAGGCACGAGGGTGAGCAGGCACGAGGGTGAGCAGGCACGAGGGTGAGCAGGCACGAGGGTGAGCAGGCACGAGGGTGAGCAGGCACGAGGGTGAGCAGGCACGAGGGTGAGCAGGCACGAGGGTGAGCAGGCACGAGGGTGAGCAGGCACGAGGGTGAGCAGGCACGAGGGTGAGCAGGCACGAGGGTGAGCAGGCACGAGGGTGAGCAGGCACGAGGGTGAGCAGGCACGAGGGTGAGCAGGCACGAGGGTGAGCAGGCACGAGGGTGAGCAGGCACGAGGGTGAGCAGGCACGAGGGTGAGCAGGCACGAGGGTGAGCAGGCACGAGGGTGAGCAGGCACGAGGGTGAGCAGGCACGAGGGTGAGCAGGCACGAGGGTGAGCAGGCACGAGGGTGAGCAGGCACGAGGGTGAGCAGGCACGAGGGTGAGCAGGCACGAGGGTGAGCAGGCACGAGGGTGAGCAGGCACGAGGGTGAGCAGGCACGAGGGTGAGCAGGCACGAGGGTGAGCAGGCACGAGGGTGAGCAGGCACGAGGGTGAGCAGGCACGAGGGTGAGCAGGCACGAGGGTGAGCAGGCACGAGGGTGAGCAGGCACGAGGGTGAGCAGGCACGAGGGTGAGCAGGCACGAGGGTGAGCAGGCACGAGGGTGAGCAGGCACGAGGGTGAGCAGGCACGAGGGTGAGCAGGCACGAGGGTGAGCAGGCACGAGGGTGAGCAGGCACGAGGGTGAGCAGGCACGAGGGTGAGCAGGCACGAGGGTGAGCAGGCACGAGGGTGAGCAGGCACGAGGGTGAGCAGGCACGAGGGTGAGCAGGCACGAGGGTGAGCAGGCACGAGGGTGAGCAGGCACGAGGGTGAGCAGGCACGAGGGTGAGCAGGCACGAGGGTGAGCAGGCACGAGGGTGAGCAGGCACGAGGGTGAGCAGGCACGAGGGCAAGCAGTGTGGACCAGAGGGCCATGGGCTGCATGCATGCGGTGCTGGTGCATCTCACTCTTGCACACGTGCTGGCAGCCCGTGTGCCTCCAGCAGCGCAGTGAACGTCCCCTCCCCCTCCGCCTCGCTGCCACTCGCCGCCTTCCCCTCCTCCTTCCCCTCCTTCCCCTCCGCCCCCACCTGCCCACTTCCCTCGTCCCCGCCTTCCCTCGCGCCACCACCGCCACCAGCAGTGGCAGCAGCGGGGGCAGGGGGGCGAGGGGGGGCGGAGAGGGGGGAGGCGGAGTGGAAGAAGCGCATGAGGCGGCGCTTGTCCGCCAGGGGCAGCTGCCGGTCCTGAAACACGTCGCCCCGACTCGTCGGCACCCGCACCAGCCCCCCTTCCGCCCCACCGCCCTGCCCCTGTGCACCACTCTCCCCGCGCGCCTTCCCGTCCGCCCCCCGCTGCCAGCAGTGCAGGGCCTGCACGGCCTTGAACTCCACGTAGTGGTGCGCGCCGGAGCGCACGAGCACGCGCACGGCGTCCCCGCCGCACATCACCACGCGCGGCCCCGCCAGATCCACCGCATAGCGCCGCGCCTCGCCCAGCTCCACCGGCAGGCGCGCGGGGTGGAAGGGCTCGTGGGAGGCGCGTGGCAGCCACGTGGCGGTGGACACGCGCGAGTAGAGCGCGCCGTCCTCCGACGACCCCAGCGCCACCGCCCTCACCGCCCCCCCCCGCACGCGCTCCTCCAGTGACGCCTCGCCCGCGCCTGCGACTGCATCTGCCCCTGCGTCTGTGCCTGCGCCGGAAACTGCATCTTCCCCCCCCGCCGCGCCCGCGTCTGAGTCCCCGTTCGTGCGCGCGCCATCTTCAGTTGCGCCCACGCCTTCGTTTTCTCCCTCCTGCCTCCCCTCCGCACTCGCCTCCCCGTCTCCCCGTCCTGCACCCTCCTCGCCGCTCAGCACTCCGCCGTCCCCCTCCGCGCTTTCCCCATCTGCTCTCCGCTCATCCTCCCCGCGCTCGTCGTCGTCGTCCGCAAACCCGTTGGTTTGCGCGTCCTCGTTCTCCCCCGGAGGCGGAATGCGCCCGCCGCTCGCCGCCCACTGCGCGAGCTGGTCGAGCGGCAGCGACGCCCAGTGCGACCCGTAGAAGCCGGAGCAGTCCACGTGCAGCACGCGCCGCCCCGCCAGAGACAGCGCCGCCGCCAGCAGCGACTCGGGCAGGCCCGTGCCGACGACGATCGCGTCGAACGACGTCGGCTCGATGCGACGCTCGCGACGCATGGCGCTGCGATGGACGAACAGCGGCGAAGGACCGTCGCACGACGGGCGGTGATTTGACGAAGTGACGAAAGGGGGTTCCTTTCTGCGCTGTTGTAGAGAATGCACGCCCCGAAACCACTGGGGGAATGCGGAGTGGGGCTGGAAATGGTGATTCACATGAACACAAAATCCGTTATGGTAAAATTCGAGAATGATTTGAGGGGGCGTAGTTGTACAGTGCGTGAATTGCAAACAAGAACACATATTGCACCCCGCCCTCCACAGTGCGACTGGTGATCCGTGGAGCGGAAAGGCGCTACTGTCTCGTCGCATCGCCTCCATCGCCGCACCTCACCCCGCTCTCCCATCGCCCTGCATGGCCATTCGTCAGACCCCCTTTCTTCCTGCCGTCGCGCAATCGCCATCTCTGTCGCTCAGCAGTCGTCGATCGCACGGGCGACAAACTTTCGCGTCGTTCGCGGTCGATAAGGCCACGGCCGCGCGCCTCGCGCAGTCCCTGAGCTGCGCGCGCCCCGCGCTTGTCCTCCTGCTCGCCGCGGTAATCGGCGCGCTGCTGCTGCTCGTCCGCGGCCCCCACCGGGGCGGATTCCTCTTTGCGCCGCAATCGAGCGCCGCGGATGACGCGCCGCACGAGGCGCTGCTCGCCGCAGCGCTGGCGGAGCTGAGGCGGGCGCGCGAGGAGGGGCGGGCGGACGAGGTGGTGGCGGCGCAGGAGGCGGTTTTGGCGCGGCAGCAGGCGCTGCTGCGGCGGTACTGGCGGCAGCTGGCGCCACTCACGGGGCAGCGCGGCGGGAAGGTGGCGCAGCAAACACGGGGAGGGGGGCCAGGCGTGGGGATTGGAGAACAGGGGAAGGCGGAGGTGGGGGAAGTGGAGTTCGTGGGGACGCGGCATGAGGGGTGCGGGGGCGGGGAGTCAGTGCCGCGCGAGCAGGCGGTGGCGGAGGCGGAGAAGCTGGAGTGGCGGCCGCAGGCGGACTCGTATCTGCTGGCGGCGTGCGTGTACGGGCGGATGACGAACCGCGTGCTGTGCGTGCGCAACTACATTCTCGCCGCCACGCTGCTGCGCCGCACGCTCATCGTGCCCGCGGAGGACCTCTACCGCCCCGCGCGCCGCTGGAACTCGCCGCTCGACGCGCCGCTCAGCCTCGATGTTGTCTTCAACGCGTCGCACCTCAACGCCTGCCTCGGCCGCCGCGTCGCCGTCTCGCTGCGCGACTACCTGCGCGCCGCCAACGCCACGCGCCTCGACGTCGACCGCCTCGTCTGCTGGGCGGACCGCTGCGCGTTCCAGCGCGGCCGCCCGTCCCACCCCGCCATCCGCTTCGCGTCGCGGCGCCATGCGGGGCTGGAGGCGAACGTCACGCGCCGCACCTTCACGGACGCGTACGGCGGCGCGGGCGGGCGCGTGCTGTGCGTGGGCGACCTGTACGAGTCGCACGCGCGCTTCCTCGACCCCCCGCCCGGCTTCGCCTCCACCCTCGCCACCGCCTGGGCCATGCCCCCCCTTGCGCCGCCCCCTGCCGCCCCGGGCGCGCGCGATGCAGGCGAGGGGCTGGCAGGCGGAGGGGGGCCGCAGTTAGGGGCGGCAGGGATTGGCATGGAGCAGCGGTGTCGGTCGCTGGTGTGGCCGTGTGACGCGGTGGTGCAGGCAGCAGAGGGCTTCGTGCGCGAGGTGACTGGAGGGGCGTTTGCAGCGCTGCACCTGAGGCGAGACGACATGTTCCGGCACTGCGTGGGGCAGGGCAAGTGCCCGTACTGGGCGCAGTGGCAGGCGGGCGAGTGCGTGCGCGAGAAGCTGCTGGGGGGGGCGTTTGACGCCGCCAGTGCCCAGCATGCACGGAAAACGGGAGGGGCATCGTGGGGAGAGCGAGGGGCCATGGGCACGTTTCCCGGGCGGCCGTTGCTGTTCCTGGCATCAGACACATCGGACTCGGACCTGGCTGTGTTCCTCTCCGCCCTGCAAGGCGTGCCCCTGCTGCCACACGCCAACACCACCACTGCCTCTGCCTCTGCCAGCACTGGCAGCAGCTTGACCTCGCCCACACCAGCCTTGCTAGCTGACCTGGATTCACCCGAGGCAGTGGCGGTGGTTCGGTTGCCGAGCCTGGAGGGCAAGATGTGGGCGGAGAGGCTGAACCGGGAGGGGCTGGCAGGGAATGCGGTGGCGGTGGCGGCGGTGGAGAAGGTGGTGTGCGCCCTGAGCCGCCTGTTCCTCACCACACCGGGCTCCACCTTCTCCCACCACATCATGCACCTCCGTACCGCCCTCCACACCGCCTCCTGCCATGACGGTGGCTTCTGCCGCGGCCTTGCAGACCCTGAGGTCGTCTGAACCAGACCTGACTCACTCACCCCACTGGGGCTCACTGACACTTGGCCTCTACCCTGGTGGCCTCACCTTGCTGCTGTGCACACCTGGAGCAGTATTTGGCGATGTGGCTTAGGCCGTTAGGCACCCTCTGTAATTATTCATTGTGCTAATAAAGATGTGATATGTACAGGGCTTAAAGGATTGTGACGGTCCATGTGCTAGTGAAAGATGAGTACCATTACTACCGTACCATGCTCTCCATACCGAGTGTTTCTTGCACTGCCTGCTATCGGTACCACTGGCAGATGCATGCTTGCACCCCTCCATCATGTCAACGCCTCTATCCATAATCGCTCCCGATCAACCCCTCAGCCACACCTGCACGCCTCACAGTACCTTCTTCTGTTCCCTCCCCGCCTAGCACTCTCGGGCCTCTGTCTCCACACTGCCCCCCTGCGACCCCAGCAGCAGCGGGGGCAGCAGCAGCAGGAGCAGGAGGGGCAGGTATGCAGCGAGGAGGGGGGGCAGGAGGGCGGAGCGGGCAGCAGCAGCGAGGGTGGCGGAGAGCAGGTGGAAGGCGGCAGCGAGGGGCAGCGCCAGCTGGAAGGGCGCCCCTCTGCTGCCCGCGCGCTGCCCCCCCATCCCGCTGAACCCCTTGCTGGCAGGGGCCGCTGTCACCAGCCCTGCCACCGCCCCCAGCTGTGGGGGAGAGGGGTGCGGATGGGGTGAGAAAGAGGAGTTAGGATGAGATGGAGAAGTGGGGTGAGCGAGAGATGGAGGGGAGTGGACTGAGGACAACTATCATGCATACACGATTGCATGATACACGGCTCACCACAGCATAGGACACGCAGGAGGCACAGGAGGCATCGCGCAGCACCAAGGCGCTCTCCGCCTCCGCCACCCGCCTCCGCTGCTCCGCCACCCTCCTGCGCTGCTCCCCCACTCGCCTGCGCTGTTCCGCCACCGCCCGCTGATCCTTGCTTCCCCACCTCGGCCCCTTCTGGGTCGTGTGGCGCTGCAGCCATGCGAGCTGCGCGCGCAGGTGCCTGGCGCGCGCTGTGAGGAGGCGGCGGGGGAGGCAGGCGGGCGGCAGGGCGGCATGGGCGGCGAGAGGGGAGGAGGACGGCAGCGCAGAGGCGAGCGGCACGTCCAGTGACTCCAGCTGGGGGGGGAGGTGGGAGGGGTGGTAAGAAGGAAGGGGTAGGGCAGAAAGTCAGTGGAGTATGATATCAGCCAGGAAACCTAGAGCGGACAGCAGCGGCACGTATTGAGAACTTGGCTTTGTGGAAAGAGAGCAACACAGCAGGCAGGAGATGGTGATACATGGGTGTGAGGAGTGGCACACAGGTGAGGTAGGTACGGATGGTGAAGGCATGAGAGCACACACGAGGACGAGGGTGAGTGATGGTGGCACGCATGGTATGGTGGCAGGCAGATGGAGAGAGGCAGAGAGAGCAGTACCTGGAGCAGAGAGAAGGAGGCCGTTGCTGCAGCGGTGCCATGCAAGGCTGGGGCGGTGGAGAGCGGTTCAGCAGGTGGCTGCGGCAATGGTGGCGCAATGGTGTGGGTGGTGGGAGGCAGGCAGGCGGGCGGGGCGAGGGGCAGCAGGCAGCAGTTGAGGAGGCGCCACGTGCGCGAGTGTGGCTGCCACTCACAGCGCTCTGCTGCCACCACCTGCTCATGCCGCACGGCAGAGAGGGCAGCCCCCGAACGACACTTAAACTTGTGATCCGCTAATCCGCACATTCATGTGTAAACATTAACATTGGCAGTGCTGTTATGGACGATGGCAGAGAGCGATAGAGGGAAAGAATGGCCAAGGAGGACTCACGGCGTGCACGTGCCCCTGAGGGGCGAGGTGCAGCAGCATGACACGCCGCATGGCACCGCCCCCCACCTCCCCCGCATACCACACCCGCCACAGCCCCGCCCCCCCGCCCATTCCCTCGGCCCCCTTGCCCGCTGCCGCCACTGCCCCCCCTGCACTGCCGGCCAGAGGAGAGGCGATGGTGGTGTGTGGTGAGGAGGGGTGAAGATGGGCGAGGAGGAGTGCGAGGGGGTCATGGTGGTGCTGCGCCTGGTTGGGAGAGGGGCGGGCACAGAGGTGAATGGAGAGAGGAGGGGAGAGGAGGGTGAGCAGGCGATGAGTGAGTGGGGCAGCAGGGTGGGGATGAGGTGGTGCGGGCGAGATGGGATGCATGGCACTGCATGGCAACACATACATACACATGTCCCCCATATTCCCCCCCATCACATACATGCGCACCATATTCCCCCCATCACAAACATGCGCACCATATTCCCCCCCATCACATACATGCGCACCATATTCCCCCCATCACATACATGCGCACCATATTCCCCCCATCACATACATGCGCACCATATTCCCCCCATCACATACATGCGCACCATATTCCCCCCATCACATACATGCGCACCATATTCGCGCAGCAATACGTGCTGCTGGGATGGCAGCGATGCCATGTCCGATGTCACTGCCGCCTCCACCATGCGCTGCGCCCTGCCATGCCATGCCATTCCAGGACGTGCCATGCCATGCACAAAGCATAGTGAGTCCAAGGACAAAGGTTGTTGGATGTTCTGGACAGAATGCAGCACTGCAGACATGGCATGGCAGAGTATTGTTACCTGCCCATGGCCCATGGCACCACGTGCTCATGGCATGCGAGCATGAGCGCGCCTGCCCCCACGCCCACACACACTGGCGCGCGCAGCACCCTGCCCCACGCCACCCCCCCCGCCGCCATGCCCGCCAGCTCGCCGTGCGCCTGGGGGCACTCGGCGGGCATCGAGAGGCAGTTGGGGGGAAGGGCAAGGGGGGCGATGAGGTGGGTTGCATGTGAGGGGGTCAGCAGGGGGGGCGGGGGAAGGGGACGGGTAGGGATGCGGGCGCAACGCAAGGGATTGGCGCGGATGTGGGCGCAAGGGGGGAGGGCGGGGCGCACCAGGAGGTGCGAGAAGGCGAAGAGGGAGGCGGCGAGGCATGCGGGGGGGAGCGCGAGCGCGAGGAAGCGCGGGAGGTGGTGCAGCGCGACCAGCAGCGCCAGGCGGAGCGGCGCGCCCGTGTTGGCCGCCACGCGCGCCACCTCCGCCAGCGACCCCAGCGCCACGCCCACGCTCGCCGCCACGCCCGCCGCCACCGCGAAGGGGCGCGCCATGCTGCGCGCGAGGTACCCGTCCAGCACGCCCCACCGCCACCGCCGCCCCCGCATGGCCCACTGCCGCGCCAGTTGCGCCCACAGCTCCCGCCATTCGCGCGCGGCTTGCGGTGTCGAGGGCGGAGTTGTGGCGGACGGGACCGAATCGGCGGGGAGAGCGGCGGGCGGGCGAGGGAATGCGCGGGACGCGCGTGGCGCGAGCAGACGAAATGGGAAGGGCGGACGACGAGGGGAAGGACAGGAGACGGGGAAGCTAATGCGGAGGGCGGGTGTAAGGGCGGGGGTAGAGGGGCGTGTGGGAGGAGAAGGAGAGCGACGGACAGGCGAGGCGAGGCGGATGGCGATGGCGATGGCGGAAGGCGAAAGCGACTCCGCCATACTACCAAAGATGGCGCGGAGGAAAAAGTGAAAGGCAATGTGAACATTGATATAAGCACTTTAGTGCGTTATGTTACGAGGACAAGTTGTTTATAGGAACCACAAGATCCCTCATATAATGCATAAGTACAAGCGAAACCCCAAGGAAATGGTAATTCGTTCAGGTGCTTCATCCCGTGATTCTGCAAGGCGATCACGAAGGCAAGGAGCGCTTGGTCCTCTTCCTGACAACACTCTCCACGAGCTGCCTCACCTCCTCCTGCTGCTCCGCACTGCGACACGCCGCCAGCATCACCCGCACCGCCCCCGCATCCCACCGCACCCCCGCTGCCACCATCTTCCTAAACACGCTCATGCACTTTCTCAGAAGCTTCTTCTCCGCGTACCCGCCCATGAGGGTGGTCCACGTGGCGGCATCAGGGGCCACGCCGCCCGCCCGCATGTCATCCATCAGCCTCTCAGCGCCCGCCATGTCACCCGCATGCACCAGCACGGCGAGCACGGTGTTGTATGAGCTCACATGCCATGCTGCCCCCTCGCCCCCATGCATGCGTGCCAGCACTCGCTGCATGGCTGCCCTGTCCCCCGCGTGCCCATGTGCCCCTGCCAGGCAGTTGAGCATTGTCCTGTCCACCCGCCCCCGCGCCCTCCCCTCGCCATCCCTTCCCCTCCCCCTCCAACGTCTCCCCTCGTCCCCCGCATCGTCCCTCCCCTCCCCTTCATGGCTCCGCCCCCCCTCTCCCCCCTTCCACGCGCGCAGCAGCGCCAGGTGCGCCTGCACTTTGTCTGGCAGCCCCGCGCGCTCGTAGGCGCGCAGCAGCTCGTGCTGCCACCGCACCGGGGGGGGTGTGCCTGCTGGTGCCAGCGATGCATACACCTCCTCCGTCTCTGATGGGGGGAGTGGGAAGTGGGGGAATGGAGGAAGGTGGAAAAGAGGACACAAGGGTTGGGGTGTGTGTGACCAAAGGCAAAAAGAGGGATGAGTGCAGCCGTTTCATGTGTGTGAGAGAAAATTTGTTCCATGAGTTTCACTGAAACCTCATGCATGCACAACGCACTCCCTGCTGCTGCACGCACAGCACCACACTGGCCCCCTTCCCCTTCCCCCCTGTGGTTCCACTCCCTGCCACATCATTCCCCTCCCCCCAATCCTCTCCTTCCTCCCCCGCTCACCTGCCCACAGTCCCTGTCGTGCCAGGGCGGCCAGCAGCGGGGTGACACAGGAGGGAGGAGGGGCGGCACCGGTGCTGCGCTGCATGGCGTCCAGCACGCCCCGCGCCCGCGCCACCTCGCCCGCCGTGCTGGGGAGAGGGGGGTTCACGTGCCAGTGGGGGGATAGGGGGGAGGGGGGGAGGATGAGAGGCATGGGAGAAGGGATGGGTGAGCGGAGGAGGATGTTCTGGGGTGTGTGGAGGGCGAGGGCGTGTGGAGAGGGCGAGTGGGCAGCAGCACCCTGCTGCCTCGTGCACCCTGCTGCCTCGTGCACCCTGCTGCCTCGTGCACCCTGCTGCCTCGTGCACCCTGCTGCCTCGTGCACCCTGCTGCCTCGTGCACCCTGCTGCCTCGTGCACCCTGCTGCCTCGTGCACCCTGCTGCCTCGTGCACCCTGCTGCCTCGTGCACCCTGCTGCCTCGTGCACCCTGCTGCCTCGTGCACCCTGCTGCCTCGTGCACCCTGCTGCCTCGTGCACCCTGCTGCCTCGTGCACCCTGCTGCCTCGTGCACCCTGCTGCCTCGTGCACCCTGCTGCCTCGTGCACCCTGCTGCCTCGTGCACCCTGCTGCCTCGTGCACCCTGCTGCCTCGTGCACCCTGCTGCCTCGTGCACCCTGCTGCCTCGTGCACCCTGCTGCCTCGTGCACCCTGCTGCCTCGTGCACCCTGCTGCCTCGTGCACCCTGCTGCCTCGTGCACCCTGCTGCCTCGTGCACCCTGCTGCCTCGTGCACCCTGCTGCCTCGTGCACCCTGCTGCCTCGTGCACCCTGCTGCCTCGTGCACCCTGCTGCCTCGTGCACCCTGCTGCCTCGTGCACCCTGCTGCCTCGTGCACCCTGCTGCCTCGTGCACCCTGCTGCCTCGTGCACCCTGCTGCCTCGTGCACCCTGCTGCCTCGTGCACCCTGCTGCCTCGTGCACCCTGCTGCCTCGTGCACCCTGCTGCCTCGTGCACCCTGCTGCCTCGTGCACCCTGCTGCCTCGTGCACCCTGCTGCCTCGTGCACCCTGCTGCCTCGTGCACCCTGCTGCCTCGTGCACCCTGCTGCCTCGTGCACCCTGCTGCCTCGTGCACCCTGCTGCCTCGTGCACCCTGCTGCCTCGTGCACCCTGCTGCCTCGTGCACCCTGCTGCCTCGTGCACCCTGCTGCCTCGTGCACCCTGCTGCCTCGTGCACCCTGCTGCCTCGTGCACCCTGCTGCCTCGTGCACCCTGCTGCCTCGTGCACCCTGCTGCCTCGTGCACCCTGCTGCCTCGTGCACCCTGCTGCCTCGTGCACCCTGCTGCCTCGTGCACCCTGCTGCCTCGTGCACCCTGCTGCCTCGTGCACCCTGCTGCCTCGTGCACCCTGCTGCCTCGTGCACCCTGCTGCCTCGTGCACCCTGCTGCCTCGTGCACCCTGCTGCCTCGTGCACCCTGCTGCCTCGTGCACCCTGCTGCCTCGTGCACCCTGCTGCCTCGTGCACCCTGCTGCCTCGTGCACCCTGCTGCCTCGTGCACCCTGCTGCCTCGTGCACCCTGCTGCCTCGTGCACCCTGCTGCCTCGTGCACCCTGCTGCCTCGTGCACCCTGCTGCCTCGTGCACCCTGCTGCCTCGTGCACCCTGCTGCCTCGTGCACCCTGCTGCCTCGTGCACCCTGCTGCCTCGTGCACCCTGCTGCCTCGTGCACCCTGCTGCCTCGTGCACCCTGCTGCCTCGTGCACCCTGCTGCCTCGTGCACCCTGCTGCCTCGTGCACCCTGCTGCCTCGTGCACCCTGCTGCCTCGTGCACCCTGCTGCCTCGTGCACCCTGCTGCCTCGTGCACCCTGCTGCCTCGTGCACCCTGCTGCCTCGTGCACCCTGCTGCCTCGTGCACCCTGCTGCCTCGTGCACCCTGCTGCCTCGTGCACCCTGCTGCCTCGTGCACCCTGCTGCCTCGTGCACCCTGCTGCCTCGTGCACCCTGCCGCCTCGTGCACCCTGCTGCCTCGTGCACCCTGCTGCCTCGTGCACCCTGCCGCCTCGTGCACCCTGCCGCCTCGTGCACCCTGCCGCCTCGTGCACCCTGCCGCCTCGTGCACCCTGCCGCCTCGTGCACCCTGCCGCCTCGTGCACCCTGCCGCCTCGTGCACCCTGCCGCCTCGTGCACCCTGCCGCCTCGTGCACCCTGCCGCCTCGTGCACCCTGCCGCCTCGTGCACCCTGCCGCCTCGTGCACCCTGCTGCCTCGTGCACCCTGCTGCCTCGTGCACCCTGCTGCCTCGTGCACCCTGCTGCCTCGTGCACCCTGCTGCCTCGTGCACCCTGCTGCCTCGTGCACCCTGCTGCCTCGTGCACCCTGCTGCCTCGTGCACCCTGCTGCCTCGTGCACCCTGCTGCCTCGTGCACCCTGCTGCCTCGTGCACCCTGCTGCCTCGTGCACCCTGCTGCCTCGTGCACCCTGCTGCCTCGTGCACCCTGCTGCCTCGTGCACCCTGCTGCCTCGTGCACCCTGCTGCCTCGTGCACCCTGCTGCCTCGTGCACCCTGCTGCCTCGTGCACCCTGCTGCCTCGTGCACCCTGCTGCCTCGTGCACCCTGCTGCCTCGTGCACCCTGCTGCCTCGTGCACCCTGCTGCCTCGTGCACCCTGCTGCCTCGTGCACCCTGCTGCCTCGTGCACCCTGCTGCCTCGTGCACCCTGCTGCCTCGTGCACCCTGCTGCCTCGTGCACCCTGCTGCCTCGTGCACCCTGCTGCCTCGTGCACCCTGCTGCCTCGTGCACCCTGCTGCCTCGTGCACCCTGCTGCCTCGTGCACCCTGCTGCCTCGTGCACCCTGCTGCCTCGTGCACCCTGCTGCCTCGTGCACCCTGCCGCCTCGTGCACCCTGCCGCCTCGTGCACCCTGCTGCCTCGTGCACCCTGCTGCCTCGTGCACCCTGCTGCCTCGTGCACCCTGCTGCCTCGTGCACCCTGCGGCCTCGTGCACCCTGCTGCCTCGTGCACCCTGCCGCCTCGTGCACCCTGCCGCCTCGTGCACCCTGCCGCCTCGTGCACCCTGCTGCCTCGTGCACCCTGCTGCCTCGTGCACCCTGCTGCCTCGTGCACCCTGCTGCCTCGTGCACCCTGCTGCCTCGTGCACCCTGCTGCCTCGTGCACCCTGCTGCCTCGTGCACCCTGCTGCCTCGTGCACCCTGCTGCCTCGTGCACCCTGCTGCCTCGTGCACCCTGCTGCCTCGTGCACCCTGCTGCCTCGTGCACCCTGCTGCCTCGTGCACCCTGCTGCCTCGTGCACCCTGCTGCCTCGTGCACCCTGCTGCCTCGTGCACCCTGCTGCCTCGTGCACCCTGCTGCCTCGTGCACCCTGCTGCCTCGTGCACCCTGCTGCCTCGTGCACCCTGCTGCCTCGTGCACCCTGCTGCCTCGTGCACCCTGCTGCCTCGTGCACCCTGCTGCCTCGTGCACCCTGCTGCCTCGTGCACCCTGCTGCCTCGTGCACCCTGCTGCCTCGTGCACCCTGCTGCCTCGTGCACCCTGCTGCCTCGTGCACCCTGCTGCCTCGTGCACCCTGCTGCCTCGTGCACCCTGCTGCCTCGTGCACCCTGCTGCCTCGTGCACCCTGCTGCCTCGTGCACCCTGCTGCCTCGTGCACCCTGCTGCCTCGTGCACCCTGCTGCCTCGTGCACCCTGCTGCCTCGTGCACCCTGCTGCCTCGTGCACCCTGCTGCCTCGTGCACCCTGCTGCCTCGTGCACCCTGCTGCCTCGTGCACCCTGCTGCCTCGTGCACCCTGCTGCCTCGTGCACCCTGCTGCCTCGTGCACCCTGCTGCCTCGTGCACCCTGCTGCCTCGTGCACCCTGCCGCCTTGTGCCCACGCCTCCAACCTTCCCACAGTGACCTCGCCCGTGAGTCTCACTCACCAGAGGGCGTGCAGGAGAGCAGTGGTGGCATGCAGGTCAGGGCGCAGCCCCATGAGCGCGATGCTGTCGTACGCGCGCTGAGCCTGCCGCCACTGCCCCACGCGTGCATGTGCCGCCACCAGCGCCGTGAAGCACGGCAGCGTGGGCAGCACGGCCGCCCCGTGCAGCCCTGCAAACACCTCCTCTGCTCGCTGGGGCAGGCCCGCCTGGGAGGGAGGAGGGAGGGGGAAGACACGGTGGGAGGGGGAGAGAGTGAGCGGGTGTGATGGTGCGGGTGGCAGAGACAGTGAGGGACAAAGCAGCAGGGGTAACTGTTTCACCTCACCTTGCCATAGACGTCACCTTGCCATAGGGAGTCACCTCACCTTGTGTAGGCGTCACCTCACCTTGCCATGGGCGTCACCTCACCTTGCCATGGGCGTCACCTCACCTTGCCGTAGGCGTGCATGAGCAGCGCGTAGGAGGCGGCGGTGGGGCGCACGCCCTCCCCCCGCATGGCGCGCACCAGCCCCTCCGCGCCCTCCACGTCCCCCGCCCTCCCCCTCACCTCCACCATCGTGTTGTACGTCACCAGACCTGGGGGGCAGGGGGGGGGGGGGGGGGGGGGGGGGGGGGGGGGGGTAGGACAGGGGGTAGGGGGCGCAGAGGGCACGGCAGGGGGTGAGGAGAGCATTTATGAAGGGGACGGACGGGAGGGAAAGGAGGCGGCAGCACTCACTGGGGCGGCAGCACTCACTGGGGCGGCAGCACTCACTGGGGCGGTAGCACTCACTGGGGCGGTAGCACTCACTGGGGCGGTAGCACTCACTGGGGCGGTAGCACTCACTGGGGCGGTAGCACTCACTGGGGCGGTAGCCGCGGAGCAGCATCTCGTGGAAGAGCTGTTGAGCGGGCGGCAGCAGGCCCTGGCGACACAGCCCGCCCAGCACCACGTTGAATGACGCCTCGCTTGGCACACACACGCCCACGCCCTCCTCCACCCACATCTCCACCTCCTCCTCCCCCACCCCCTTTTTCTCCTCTTCTTCCTCCCATCCCTCCCCCTCCTCCTCCTCCTCCTCCTCCTCCTCCTCCTCCTCATCCTCCTCCTCCCTCCCCTTTTCCCGCGTCCCTCTACCCCCTCTTCCCCTTGCTCCCTCGCCTTGTTCCCCTGCATCTCTCTCCCTTCCCCCCCTCTCCCCTGCTCGTCCGCGCCCTTGTGGGAGGGAGAAGCGCACGCGCCCCTGCTGCATGAGGCGGAAGACGCGCAGAGCGGTGGGGGCGGCGCCAGAGCGCGCGTAGGCGTCCATGAGCAGATTGTACCCCGACACGTCTGCTCGCCACCCTGAGCGCGACACCACCCACTCGTACACCTGGGAGGGAGGGGGGGGGGGGGGGGGGGGGGGGGGGGGTATTGGAGAAGAGAAGGGTGTAGAAAAGGGAAGGGGGTGGGGGGGCATGTTTTGGTGGAAGGCAAGGCGGGTGGAGGGGTGGGGTGGGGGCGTGTGTGGCGGACAGTTGACAGAAGGAACAGGGAGATGGAAGGGTAGGGTCACCACCACATGCCATCTTACATGCGCCACCACGTGCCACTCCTCTCTGCGCCGCAGCTCGCGCAGCACCGCCGCCACGTCCTCCTCCGCGCCCTTCCGCCCTCCGCCTCCCCCTGCCCCCGCGCTAGCCGCCTCCAGCGCCGCCCATCTTTGGCGGCGCAGCTTCTGCTGGCGCAGCTGGCACAGCAGCGCGGACGCGGACGGGCTCAGCACGGGCGGAAGCCGCACGCGGGGCTGGTCGCTGCGCCGCCACTTGCTGCCTGGGGAAAGGGGTTTGAAGGGTGGGGGTTCGGGTTGGGGGTTGGGGGTTTGGTTACGCCATCACACGCGCCCGCTGCACCGCACTACCTCTCCTTCCCCCTCGCCTCCCACTCCTCCACTCGACTGCAAAATACTCCTTCCTCGCTTCTCTCCCTTCCCCCCCTCCCCCATCGTGTCATTCCGCCTCCGCCCTTCCGCGTCCCACCTGCAAGCGCCACCACGGGGGGCGCGCGCCCTTGGCGTTGGCTGCTGGTGCCGCGGAGAGCGATCGGCGGAGGTCCGCTGAGCGGCATTCCGGGGCGCAGCGTTTGGCGTTTCGAGGAGAGCAGTGAGCGGCGGGGCATAGCCGCAGCACTCAGCCTTCCGCGCAGCCCGCCATCATCCGCGGGTGGCCATTTCAACCGCCGAATGGCGGACTCTAGGTTCCTGTTCCGCGCGCCCGCGTCAGAATTCCGCAAAGCGTCGCTCCCGCCGACTGCACATGCGCGCAGGCGGGCGGAGGCCGACATGGGCGCAAAGGGTTAGAGAAACAATAAGAGAACGGTGTCGAGGGAGCAGAAAGGCGGTGCGGCGGAGCAAACGACGCGGAGTGTAGCAGCTGGTGAGGGTTGGAGCTGATGGGCAACGTGGCTTGGGTTGTATGTGTGGTGCGGTTGGCAGGTGTGCTGGCCTGGTCCGTGCGATGATTGTTGTGGTAGTTCCCAGGTGATCCGTTGAGAACGGTTCAGTTGGGTGCCTTGCAATTCCAACCATTTCATTACTGAAGGGGAAATCCGGTCTTTTAATAAGCCATCTAAAACACAGTAAGTCACCTAAAGCTCCTACAACGAGCGGCGGCGGATTCGACAGTCCTAGCTAGCAGCATGGCAGTGCAATCAAATAATAACAGCAAGTGCTCGTCCCTGCCCCAATTGGGACAGCACTCTCATGCGCGCTGCAGCTGCTGTGCCCGCCCCGCCTGCTCGCCTGCTGCCCGTCCGTGCGAGGCTGGGAGTGCGAGGCGAGGGGCGTGCTTGTGAGGCCTGGGAGGGCAGTGCGAGCAGCCGGGGCGGGTGTGGGTGCGGTGAGAGCATGGCACTGCCGGCACACGGAGGCCTGTAAGCGGTGCTGCCACCCCGCAGCCGCTGCAGTGCCAGCCCCACACACACGCGCACGGTGTGCTTGCCGCGGCCAGTTGTGGGAGAGGGGCGGTGGAGAAGTGTGGTGAGGGAGAAGGGGAGGGCAAGAAGAGGAGCGCGGTGTGGTGCGACAGCTGCAGCCCAGGTGAGGGCGGAGAAGGGGGCGTGGGGCGAATGGCAGTGCTGCCACGCCTGGCAGTGTGGGCGTGACAGGGGGAGGGGGGAGCGCGGATGGAGAGCAGCAGCAGCGCAGGGCAGCAGAGCAGCTGACGGGGACCTCTGGGCCTCTGACTGGGTGGCACCTGCACCAGTTGCCACCTCCCCTTGAGGGACAGGGAGTGACTGTGGTCTTTGCCAGATGCGAGTCTTACTGCCCCTTCCGCTGCCCCCCCTAGCACTGCTACTTGGCCCCCTTGAATCCCTGCCATTCACCATTCCTGATCTCACGCTGCCACCCCTATCGCCCCCTCTCGCCCTCACTGCCACCTTGTCCTCTGCCTCTGCCTCCTGTGCTGCTGCAGTGCTGCTGCTCTCGCCCTCCTGCCCTGCACCCTCAACCCTGCTGTTGCTCTCAATACTAATCCTCTCACCACCGCCACTGCTGCTCTCACCACCGCCACTGCTGCTCTCACCATTACTCTCGTCACTACCTCTAGCGCTCTCACTGCTGCTGTTGCCATGACTCGCCCCATTACCAGTCTGCCCCGCATTGCCACTCTGCCCCCCATTCACACCTCCCCCATCCGCCCTGCTCCCTCCCCCTGCGCCTCTACTCGCCCCTCCCCCTGTCCCACCCCCTTCCACCCTCACCCGCCTGCCCCTCTCCTCGCGCTTGCTCAGCTTCCGCGCCCCTCCCCCCTGCGCGCCACACTTGTCACGCTTCTCAGCAGCGATGCGCTGGGCGTCGCGCCACAGCCCCACGGACTGCCACGCCAGGCTCGTCTGCTCGTAGCACCGCGCGTCCAGCGCGCCCCCCTCCGCCTCCATCAGGCGCAGCACGGCCTCCGCGCGGTGGGGCAGGCGCGCCTCACAGAAGCCCCAGATGAGCGTGCGGAACGTGAACGCATTGGGGCGCACGCCCGCGCGCACCATGCGCTCGTACACCGCCATGGCGGAGTCCATGCGCGCGCCCATGCTGCAGTACGCGCCCATCACCGTCGTGTAAGTCACCACGTTCGGCTGCAACCCGTGCTGCGCGCGCATCTCGTCCAGCAGGCGCTCGGCGGCGTCCCCCTGGCGCGCGCGCAGGTACCCCTTGGCGAGCACGGAGAACGCCTCCACGTCCGGCGCCAGCCCCGCCGCCATCGCCTCCTCCAGCACGGCGCGCGCGCGGTCGGGGCGCGCGGCGGTGCTCCACGCGTTCATGAGCGTGCAGTACGACGCCAGGTCGGGGGGCACGCCCGCTGCGCGCATCTTCTGCAGCACCTGCGGTGGGGGGTAGTGTGGAGGAAGGAGGTGAGTGGGGGGAACGCAGGGAGTGGTGGTGAGTGGGGTGCTGTGTGTGCGGGGAACGTGGGCGGAAGTGAGGAGTGGCAAAGCCCGCAGCTCACAGCGCCCGGGATGCTGCGCGATCTCAGATGCGTGCTTCAGTGTAGCACATAACTGTTCCTTCGTCTCTCTGCTCTTTCCTTCTTTCCCCCGCCTTTCATCATTCTCCTGCCTCTGCATTTTTCTCTCTGCGCCGTCCTTCTCCCGCCAAATCCCTCTCTCTGCACGTTCTTTCCGCTCTTCGACCGCCTATGGCTAATCAAGAGCGCGCATGGCACATATCCGACCCTTACCCGTTCCATCTCCCCACGCCAATTACGTCCCCTCATGCCCGTTCCTTCTCATCAAACCCTCCTGCATCTCCGCCGACCATCTCTGCGGTCGCCTTCCTCTCCGGGTTCACCCACCCTCACCTGCTGTCATCCGCCCCTCGAAGCCGTCTCCTCCCTCTTCCACTTCACCCGCCCCACAGCCTCACCTGCGCGGCGGGGAGCGGCTGGCCGGCCTGGCAGTAGCCCTTGACGATGGTGTTGAAGATGGTGGCATTGGGCGCCACGTCCCACTCGCGCATGCGCTCCGCCACCACCTCCGCGTCCGCCATGCGCCCCACGTCGCACAGCGCGCGCACCATCATGCCGAACGTGCGCGCGTTGGGGCGCACGAGCGCGTTCACCATTTCGCGCAGCACGCGCTCGCAGTCGTTGGGCCGCCCGAGCCGCCCGTAGGCCTTCATCAGCGTGTTGTACGACACCGCGTCCGGCGCCACGCCCGCTGCGCGCATCTCGCGCAGCACCGCGCGCGCCTGCTCCACGTCCCCGCGCTCGCACCACGCGTTCAGCAGCATGTTGTACGTCCGCAACTCGCCGCCCTTCCCCTCCCCCCCCCCCCGCCCCTCCCCGTCCCCCGCTGCTTCTCCCGCGACCAGCTCCGCCCGCCCTTGCGCCGCCCTGCCGCTGCTCCCGCGCGTCCTACCATCATCTCCGCGACTTTCGCCGCGTCTTCCGGGCGCTTGGCGGCGCCGAAGCCTTTGATGAGCGTGTTGTAAGTGCTGGCCGTCGGCTCCCACCCGTTGAACCGCATGCGCCGCAGCACAGTGAGCGCCTCGTCCACGCGCGCGCGCGAGCAGAAGGCGTTGACCACGGCGTTGTAGCACACCGGGTCCGCCGCCACCCCCGCCGCCTCCATCTCCGCCAACACCGCTTCCGCCTTTTCCGGCTCCCCCAGCGTCGCATGCGTCGCAATCACCTGCGAAAACGCCTCCAGCGGCGGGCGATGGCCGGCGCGCTGCAAACCCTCGATCGCAGCGTGCATGCCGGCGACGTCCGCTGTCGCACGGCACGACGCGATGCGGTTCAGCGCGGTGGCGACGTCCGGGCACGGCAGGGGGCGCTTACCCTTCTCCTTGGCGGAGCAATGCGCGCAGCGAACGGCTGGCGGGGGGGCATCGCAGAGCCACGAGGGATGCGCGGAGCTGCCGCACTGCAGGCAGCGGAACTGGCGGGAATGGCAGACAGAAGGGGGATGGGGGGAGTGGCGAATAGAGAGCCGCGGGTCAGCGACAGTGTGAGTTAGCTAGGTCGGGCGGACGCACGAGTGTGAGTGAGGGAGTGTGATGGGGGAATTAAGCGTCTAGACAAGGGTTACATGAGTTGTCAGGACCACCCGTGACTGACCTTGGCGGATTGGCTGGGCGCGGAAACCGAGGCGGGCGGCGATGCATCCTCCGCCGCGCTGCTGCCGTCCAGCAGACTCGCGGCCCAGAGCTCCTCGCCATCGCTCATCGCATCGCCGTCGCTCCACGCGTCCACATCGCTTCGCGCGCCGTCGTCGCTCCTCGCGCCGTCGTCCGTCTCGAAGCCGTCCGGCAGCGACGGACGCGACGGCCGCGGCAGCGACGCATCGCGAGGTTGTCTCTTGAAGCGCGCCGAGTCTTGGGCGAGCGGAGGCATGGCGCGCACGGAGGTACGACGGTCAGCGACGCACCAGTTGACGCGCGTGACGCAGCAGCATGGCAGCTGCGGATTGCGAATTCGTCAGGCCGTGGTCGCCGAGTCTAAAGACTTGGGCTTGGGAAGTGGTGATCAGCAAACTACAGTGTGCTGTGCCCTAAGGGCGTGTAAATCGGCGTGCATTTTAAAAAATGGGGTTTGGCCGGGTTTTTGTCGACCAAATGGTCGACACTTCTTTCGCACATGTCCACCTGATGGCCGAATTAGAGTCGACCAGTATTTGCAGGTCTGCAAATTTTACAACTTTGCAGGCCGAATTGCTGGCCGACTCCAGAAAACTTGTAAAATTTGCAAGTGCTACAGTAGGAACGTTTGTGCGACGGGGTCGCACATATGACGGCGAAGTCTCTGATTCGACAAGAGAAAATAATCTGTCGTTCTGCGAGACTGTGCGACGTCGCACGTGACAGTCGCTCACGGAGTCGACTACTTGGCCGAATTGGAGTCGACATGGTGTCGAATTCGAGTCGACTTTCAAAACGGCCATCAATTTCGTTTTTTATTCGCGAAATTCGCGATGGTGGCGAGCGTCTTCGAGAAACTCGCAAACGGGTTACTTTCGCCAATTCGGCCATTCGGCTTGTGGCCGAATTTTTAGGTGCAGCGATTTTACACGCCCTAATCAGTCGAGCAGGCAGTGACGAGACGAGACGAGTGGGAGTGTTCCGTTGCGTTGCGACAGTATCGAGGGTGGCGGATGGGACCTTCTCGAGGGGACAGCAGAGAAATTATCCCGAGAGATGAACCCCGAGCCAAGTTGACGTGGCCGATGGCACACCTTATTTGCCTCTACACGTCGGACAAGAAATCAGCGACCCAATCAGCGTCGCTGAACGCCCAAGTTCCAGCGTACGTGCACTACCAGGGACCAGACAAGGCAGGGGAAATACTCGGGCTACAGTCAGACTCTTTACGACGTCAAAACGAATTTGTAGTACAGTTAAATGTTAAGTAAAGGCTAATTCCGAATTCTGACTCTATCCATCACTATCTAATGCGATCCATTATCGAAGGCGATTATCAGCGGACATTCTCGAGGTTATGGCTACCCGCCGCCTTCTCCCCCTCACACTCCGCCGAGTGCGCGGATGGTCCAATCCAGTGCCATCGCCAGCCTCCGCCGTTCCATCGCCGCTTCCGCCTCCCTCCGCGTGTGCCGCCTCCGCCGATCGTACGATCCACACGGCACTTTCTTCCGGATCACCCGCCACGCCTCCGCCCACCCTCTCCGCTAATGAAGCTTCCGCGCATGGCGCACACCCCGCGCCTACTTCTCCCCGCGTGCACCTTCTTTCCGCCTCCTCGCAGCCTCTCCGATTCGTTCACGCCGCGACCACATTCGCCTCGTCCCCGTCCCCAGAAGGGACGGTGCCACCTGGCAGTACCACGTCAGCAGCCGCCGGCGACGGATGGCACGAAGCCACGTCGACTGCGCGCGAGTCGACGGCGGACGGGGGGGTGGCGGACGGCAAAGCAGGGGGCGGCGGAGCGAGATGGGCGCAGGCGCGTGCGCCGGAGTGGGAGGAGCGCGTGTATGCGCGCGGCGTGCGCGGATACAACAACGTGCTGCAGCACCTGGCGGACACTAACAGGTGCGCGGGTGGCGCGGACGGGGGGGGATGGGGCGGGGAACGGGGGAGATGGGGTGAGTGGGAGGGGAGGGATGTGGAGGGCATGCGGAAGAAATAACGAGCCTTTGTTGCTTAGCATGGCACGGCATGCCACCCTACCTTCATGTCAACTCAACCCCTAGCTCCTCACCCGGCCACCTAACCCCTGCCAATTCAATACAATACAACCACCTGCATGCCTGCCACGTGGCACCATCTGCATGACTGACGGGTGGCAGGGCGCACCTGGTGCGCGACGTGTGGGGTGACATGGGGATGGACGGCGTGGCGCCCGACCGCACGTCCTTCCACCTCGCCACTGCTGCTGCCATGAAGGCCGGCCGCCTGCACGACGTGCTCTTCTTCTTCAATCACATGAAGACACGTGGCATCGTGCCTGACGTAAGCACCCGCGCTGCCCGCCCCCTGTTCAGCGCGCATCCGCTGTACCGCCACCTGTATGCGCACCTGCGCCCTGCACTGCTCCCCCACCCCGTGCTTGTGCCCCATCACCCTCCCTCCCACCCCATGCCGCGCCGCATGACTCACACCCCTCCCACACCCCGTGCCCCATGCGCCCTGTGTGCCCGTGCATGCATCAGGTGGCGATGCACAACATGGTGATCAGCGCGTGTGCCATCTGCCTGCACGTCGACCATGCCTTCAAGGTGCCCCCCTTGCTCCCACTGCACTGTACCACCCGCACCTGAACCCACTGCCTGTTGTGTTTCTGCACTCTCCTGTTGCTTTCTGTCAAATGCAAGAGATGCCCGATTTCATCAGCCTCACTTCCTCGCATGGCGTGGCATGGCATGGCATGGCATGGCGTGGCGTGGTATGGCGCGGCATGCCGGGGCAGGTGGCGGAGGGCATGAGGAGGGCGGGCGTGGAGTTCCATGAGCGCACGTACAGCGCTCTGCTCAACGCCGCCGCTAACACCGGCCGCATTGCCCTTGCGTCAGTCACACCACCTCCCCACCTCCTCCCATCGTGCACCGCCACTCCTCTCGCTGCCACCGCTGCTGCTGCTCGTGTGCCTTGCCCTGCCGTGCGCTGTCCTCCCCTGCCGTGCATGCATCCTGCTCCCCTCTCTCCCATTTTGCCACTCCAAACTCCCCCCCATGCCTCCTAACCTCCCTGCTTCCCGTTCGGTTGCCTTCCGCTATCCCTCCACCATGCGTGCAAGGGAGCAGGGAGGCGGTGGTGCGGGAGATGGAGGCGGGGGCAGGCAGCGCACGCGCCTCACTCTGGCACCGCTCATCACAGCGCATGCCAACCACCTCCCACGCCTGCCCCGCTGCAAACCCAAGGTGCCTGCCACCCCTGCTTGCACCTGCCACGCCAGCTGTCCCTTGTTACCGCTGCAGCATATTCCCCCTCATCCCGCGCATCTCCCTTCTCATCCTTCCCATGCTCTTTTCCCACGTCCACCATTTCCTCTCCCCTGTGACTGGTGCTATTCCATCCCCCCGCTCCCCTCCCTGTTGCAAGCCACCCTTCTCCCCCTCGCCTGCCCCACGCCATCCCCCTCCCCCATCTCCCCCCCAGGTGCTGGCTCTGTTGGATGAGGCGCGCGCCCTGCCCTCTGAGGAGCCGCCAGGGCAGGGGGAGGATGTGGGGGGAGACGAGGGGGAGCAAGAGTTGGGAGGAGGCGAGGGAGAGGAAAAGGGGGACGAGGGAGATCACTCGGCGTTGGCAGGAGCGACAAGAGAAGAAGCAGCAGCCATGCAGGGCGGCACGGTGCAGAGCGGCACGTTGCAGCATTACATGGCAGCGCTGACGGCCATGGAGACACTCAGAGACCCACAGGTGAGGCAGGGGGATGAGGAGGCAGGGGAGGGGAGGGTGGGCAGGGGAGGGGGGAGGCAGAGTGAGGAGGAGAGTCAGGGGGGGAGTAAGGCAGGCGGGGAGCGTAAGGCAGGGAGTGTAAGGGCGGGGAAGGCGGGTTCAGGTGAGGCTGGTGGGCGGGACGGACCAGTGCACTCAGTGTGACACACCTTCCTCTCCCCTCGCCCCTCTCTCTCGGACCATGCCATGCCATGCCATGCCATGCCATGCCATGCCATGCCATGCCTTGCCATGCCATGCCATGCCATGCCATCCCATGCCATGCCATGCCATGCCATGCCATGCCTTGCCATGCCATGCCATGCCTTGCCATGCCATGCCATGCCATGCCATCCCATGCCATGCCATGCGATGCCATGCCATGCAGGGGGCAGAGCAGGTGATGGCAGCAGCAAGGGAGGATGGGGTCACACCAAATGCGCACATGCACCGCCGCCTCATCAGGTGGGTGGCATGCACTGCCAGCTCATCACCTTCTCCCACCACGTCCGCCGTTCTTTCGCCTGCCACGCTGCTCACTGCATCTCTCTGTCGCCCTCCCACGATTTCTCCCCTCCCACCTTTCCTTCCCTTACCCCCTTCCCACAATCACCCCTCACCCCCTCACCCCTCCCTCCCACCAGGGTGTATGCGAGTGCGGGGCAGCTGCAGGCAGCGAGGGCGGTGTGGGAGGCGTTTGTGGCGAGTGGGGGCTACCCGGGGAGAACCCTCTTCCTGGTGGGTGGGGCATGCACACATGCACGCATGTCGCTGTCTTTGAATGAGGAGTCATTTCGCCCTCAACACTGCCAGAGGATCAAAGGTTCTCCTTTTGATGCCTCTCCTTCTTCCCCACTCCTAGCCGCCCTCGACCCTCAAGTCTTTCTCGCTCCCCCACCCCTTTCCCCGTGCCTCTGCGCATCTCCCCCTCCCCACCCAAACCCCCCTCTCTTCCCGCTGCTGCACGTGTCATCACCCTGTGGCCGGGCAGCACGTGGCGGAGGCAGCAATGGCGCAGGCCACGCGGGAGAGCACTGCCATCGCACGCCAATACATGGTCAGTGGGGCGCTCGTGCCAGGGTGCTGTGCTTGCCGCTGCCTCGACTCTTGTTTTGCTATCGCCACTGCACACTGTACCACCTCCCACCATGCCTTTCACCTCAAACCCTTCACACGTGCGTTCATCTGCTAATGTCCTTTCCTCCTCGCACATGTGCTCACATAACCTCCCCTCCACCCCACGTCCTCCCCCACCAGGAGGAGTTCTTCGCAGCGGGCTACTTCCTCAATCCCACCACGGGCGCTCGCCTGCTCAGGCCATTCAGACTTTCGTTCAACTATAGATTCCCTCTGCCCCTCGCACGTGTGCTGCCCCCTCCCCTTCACCGCACGGCATCACCCCCACCACCAGGAGGAGTTCTTCGCAGCGGGCTACTTCCTCAATCCCACCACGGGCGCCCGCCTGCTCAAGCTCGCCTCCATCTTCGCCCGCAAGGTGCTGCTCTACTCCCTGCTTGCTCTTTTGGGTAGGCGCCTGTGCTCTAAGGGGCTGTGAGGGAGGGGTAGGCGCCTGTGCTCTAAGGGGCTGTGAGGGAGGGGTAGGCGCCTGTGCTCAAAAGTGGACTCCCTCGCTTCTCACCCACCCATAACCGTCCGAGTGGCGACCCATCATGTGCATCGCTCATATTCGACCGCTACACAGCAGCCATGAGGGACGTGGATCCGCACGCCCTCACCGTTCCCCTCCGCCTCTCCCCCGGTGCCCCTCGCCCCTCACCTCTCCCCCCACTCATTGCTCTCCGCAGAGTGGCGACCCATCATGTGCATCGCTCATATTCGACCGCTACGTGGCGGCCATGAGGGACGTGGACCCGGACGCCCTCACCGTTCCCCTCCACCTCTCCCCGGGTGCCCCTCGCCCCTCACCTCTCCCCCACCCATCACCCATCACTTACAGAGTGGCGACCCATCATGTGCGGCGTTCATATTCGACCGCTACGTGGCGGCCATGAGGGACGTGGACCCAGACGCCCTCTGTGTGTTTGCCTCCGCGCTGCTCGACCTGGGCGTGCCGCGCTCCGATGCGCAAGTGCACCGCGCTCACAGCCTCGCCGCACGCAGGCGTGCCGTGCGCCTGCAAGCCAAGGCTCGCGCCGGTGTGTGGCACGGCGCTTTTCCACCTCCCTCATAGGCGCAGGGCGGGTGCGGGTCGGGTGGTGTGGTGACTGAATGCCTTGAACTGGTTTAGGCTGGTGAAGCGAATGTGTACCAACAATACAAGGCGGCATTCTCTATTATCCTTGGTTGTTGGAAGGAAGAATGTAAGCTTCTTCTTGCCCTTTCCAACTACTGGTTGGCTAAGAGAGACAGTGCTGCAGTTGGGTTGATGGAACGGTGATTGGGCTACCCGTGAGCACAACGAGGGCCCTTGTGCTTAACGAGGGCCCTTGTGCTTTACACGCACGCACGTAGACTGGGTAGAGAAGCCGGGAACCCATGGTTTACTATGCACGAGCTGTGCCACCCGCCCTGACATGGTGAAACGACATGCTGTCCTGCCCATGGTATACCCTCTGCTACCAACACCCCTGTTGCCCCACCTCCCTGCCCTGCATGAAGGAGATAAATATGCCACCACGTCTCCAGATTAGCCCAGCTGCACTGACAACTCTGAGCATAAGTAATGGCATTGGTCTTATATAGATTAATTAACAAAGGACGCACCCCTGCCACTTCAGCCTTCAGATAGGCTAAACACGGCTGGCAGAGCTGCAATCACGAGGACCTAGATAAACTAACAGACAAGGGAGAGGAGGGTGCTTGCAGGGGCCCCTCGTGGAAGCTCCAGCAGCAAGCAGTCTATGGCGGGGGGGCAATGGCCCGGGTGCATACATGGGCGATACGGCATGCTATCGCTGTCGGAGCACACGGCTCCCACGCGCATGCCTTGTGGAAGTGGGCGGGGGCGGGGCAGCAGCGCGGCGGATTAGATTTCTTGGCCGAAGTCGACAAAAGGGCGGCCGGTGTCAATGACTTTGCGCTTGGCCACCGTGTTGATCAGCGCGATCATTGATGTCACGCCCGCTGCTCGCACAGCAACACATGCCACAAGGCCACACGTCACACACGGGGTAGAATTGAGTTCCAAGTGCCGACATTTGAGCGATGCCACGCTTACGCGCGAGTCCCTTCACAAGCTGCCGTCAGAAATTGTCCCACCCGGTGATTAGCTGTTGCGTGGGATCGGATATGCAGCAGACCGAATCGCAGTACCCCAGCACAACAAGATAGTTTTCTACGCGAGTGTTTGACCTCACTTTTCCCCACATGATTCGCCCCACTCTGCACCATAACTGTACCATCGCCCTTCACATTCCACTAGTGCGCGGCGCCGCGCGGCTCTTCTCGCACACAGCAACCCCACGCGCATTCTCGCGCTGTTCCCGTTCCTTTTCTTATCGTAAGATCATTATTCAAGCAGAGGACGCGGAAGCAGCGGCGGGCTAACCTGAGATGGCGGTGAAGACGCCGAGGTAGCCGCCGGCCTTGTTCCAGTTGTTGTTGGAGGGCGTGAAGTTGGCGATGACGAGCAGCACGAACGTGACCTCGAGCAGGAAGAAGGTCACGCACACCGTCTTGGGCATCAGCAGCGTCGCCAGGAACATGTACGTGTTGAATATCATGAACCCCGACAGGTACCACCCCAGCGCCGACGCCACCACCTCCTTGGGCACCTGAAGCGGGGAGCGGGGAGCGGGGAGGCGCGGGGGGCGGGAGGTGTTGGGGGGAAAGTGGGGAGAGTTGATGCGCGGATGGAAGTGCGCACGGCGGAATGGCGGACAGCTTGGGCGGGAACGGACGAATGCGTGCGGACTGGGGGAGAGCAGGTTGGGGTGCTGGGAAGACGGTTCGATGGCGACTTGGAAGGCGCGCGGGATTGGTGCCACGTGGGCGAAGCGCCGATCGACGGCAAGGACGGGGGGGAGCGGAAGCAGTGGAATTCGAAATAAAGAAAACACGAAGCGGTGGGATGTGAAGCGGAGGGAGCTCGGCGTCGAGGGCGAGGGCGAGGGCGAGGCGGCTCACCCAGCCGAGGAGTTCGAGGAGGATGAAGGTGGCGAGGCCCATCCAGAAGCAGCCGAAGGACGTGAAGGCGGTGCACGCGAACACGTTGTCGTGCTTGAACTCCCACATGCCCGCCAGGATCTGCCCCACGCCGCCGTAGAACAGCGCCAGCCCCATCCACACGTGGTTCGGCGCCCACCCTGCCGCGCATCGCCGGGTAGCGGAACAGGAAACGCGAGGGTTAGCGTAGGTGGCGGAGACAGTGCGGTTTTTCACGGTGGGTTGCTGCGCGGCAAGTCGCGAGTGAAGGACGGGGAGCGGTGGGATGCATCACGGCGGTGAGGGCGGCGTACCTGCGTTGTGGGCTGATAGAACGAAGGTGGTGAGCGCGAAGGACGCGAGGCCCAGTGGCGCTGGGTTGGCGATCTTCTCCGCCTCGATGAGCGCTCTGTACCCACACGACTCCGCCATTGCGTGATGTGTGTGTGCGCTTTGCGATCAACGACTGGGCGTGTTCTGTTAAACCTGCTGTGGTTACAAGGTCTGTTTTGCCGAACTATGAATTTGGTAACTCCTGGGAAAAGAGCGAGTCTTAGTCGAGATTGTACGTGCCAGGAGCGAGTGACTGAGGAATGGAAGGAGCGAAGAATGGTGAAAGTCGAAGACGTAAAATGCGTCGGGTGGCTATGACAGTTGAATGAGCAGCTGCATTCGCCCTTCCCCCTCTTCATCTCTCGCCTCGCCGCACCACCCCGCTTCTGCTACCTCCGCGAGCTCCGCACGTTTCGCGCTCTTCTGGCCTTCCGCGTGTTCAGTGATGGCGCGTAACCGAACCGAACCTGACACGTTTGGTCCCAAGATCTGTGGCTTCGGTCTAGCGCAGCAGACCGGTTGGTGAGCTCGTCGTGTCAGCAACAGATATTCCATCTGTCGTGCCAGCGCAACGTTTCATCACATCTTTCTGTGCCCCTGGGGCCACTGCTTTTGTAAACGCGCCGCCGCAAACAGCACAGGTGTCAGGGTCCACGTGCTCTTGTATGCTTGACCCCCCTTCGAGCAGAGGTGAGGCTCCCAGTTGCTCACCTACCTCGCGCGCGATTGGTTTGATGCGTCAAATAAGTCAACCCAATCACATCAGCGCATCTTGCACACATCGAACCACCAGCTGCCATTGTTGCGCGGGCCAACATCATAGACATGCAAATTAGTGTGGTAACCCTATCCAATGGTATGCAAAACCGTCTTACCTCTGTTTTCAAGTCATTGACATGCTGCCCTGATAGCGCGTTCGTTTTTAATTTAAACTTGATCTTTACCGCGCTTGCCTTCGCGCTAAGACGTGATTTCTTCGGGCCAAGAAAAAAATAAAACCCGATCGGAAAGGGATGCGTCAGGGAGGCATCAACCCTAAAAACAATGTCCTTTCCCGTGTTTAGGGTTGATCCCTCCCAGAAATGCGTCCAGGTCGCTAGGGGTTTTATTGTTTTTCTGCCCTGCCCCTACATTTCCCGGTAGCAATATATTGGTCCAAATTAATGTTATCGAAATGGACCCCGTAGACATTCATTCCAGTGGATTTTTCGTCACATTTAGCGGAAAATAGTAGCCGGCAGGAATATTTGATAGGCGCCGAACAAGACGCGGGAAGAACCACGAAGATAAGAAATCGAAAACGCAACTGATTCTATCACATATTTTCTTCCTTTTCTGTGCTGCGTCAGCTGTTACAGTGTTTTGAGTGGCGCTACCAGACAATTTTGCGCAGCAGAACTGGGGTATCGACGGTTTTGCATACCATCGAATAGGGTTACCAGACTGATTTGCATATCTATGATGTTGGCCCTTGTTGCGCTGTCAAAATTAGCTGGACTCTCAGGTGGCAACTTTTAGTGTGCGTTGTCACGGGATTCGCGCGTGCAACATCTCACGTTGGAGAAACAGTTGTGGGTTCTGGTGTTCAAGCAAAAGCACGAACCGCGAGCCCTTACGTCCAGCTGATTGGCTGAGCAGTGCGTCGTGGTTCGGCCCAAACCGGATTTACCGCGTAATCCTGAGCCCCCCGCTTCTTGCGTTTTGGCGGAGAGTTGTTGGGGGGGAAGCTCAGCGCGACCATGTTGCTTTCGTCCCTCCCGTCTTCACCTTTATCTCCCTGCCTCATTCGTTCCTTTCTCCAACTCCAACTTAGTAAATTCGACAGGCTATCGATTCGTATCATTCATCCTTGCACTCAGCTCCCAACTCAAGTCACAGACCTATCCATCACTGTCAATCCTGTAGCCCAGCGCGACTAAGTTTCGACTCTCGAATTTCTCACATTCTAATCACCTCGATAGACTATACTTCATAGCACCATGGGTCTGGAAGACGGCGCGCCCGACGAGATCCGCATCGCCAGCCAATGGAAGCCCACAGCCGACGGGCGGCCGCTGGGGCTGGCGGCGTTCGCGTGCACAACGTACATCATGTCCGCATACAACGCCGGTTCGTCCCACTCCTTGCCCTTGCCGCATTCAACCATTCCGTCGCTCACGCTTGCTCGCCTCCGCGGCCATTCCCTTGAAAGCCACCGCTTCCTTCCTGCTGGCCTGGCTTGGCGTCCCTTCTCTCCAATTCCTTGCCCGCGACCGCCGCCTTGCCTTGCCCGCTCCAATGCTCACCGTTCCTCTCTCCCTTCCCTTTCTCCCTTGCCGCCGCAGGCTGGGGGCCTGACTTCATCTGGATCGGCGCGGCGCTCTTCTACGGCGGGCTGGGGCAGCTCTTAGCGGGGATGTGGCAGTTCAAGCGCAACTGCACGTTCACGGCCACCGCCTTCTCCACGTACGGGTGCTTCTGGATGTCGCTCGCTGTCTTCAAGATCCTCGAAATCTCCAAACTCGTGAGTGCCGCTAAACTCGTGAGTGACGCCATGCCTAGCCGCGGTAGTCCCGTGTGGCCTTCCGTCTCGAAAACCCCCGCCACCAGCGCTGCCTGTTGCGTGCCTGTTGTCGTGTTGTCCCGACACGCGCCGTGGAGAGCTCCTGGCCTGATGAAACATTGACGCGACACGACAAAGCAAACAAACAAAACGACGGCGCTCACACAATTGTCTGCGCCGCAAGCACGCACATCCTTGAGTAAAATGAGGATGAGCCCCGGCGGCACGGCCGACGCGCTCCTTCACCCACCCTTTCGATCTCGTCTCCCCCCAACGCAATCTTCCCCGCTTCACTCCCTGCTCCCTGCGTCCGCCCCCCCTCCCCCCCACACACCCACTGCCGCGCGCAGCTGCCCAAGGAGACGATGGCGGAGTTTGTGGAGGCGCAGGGGTGGTTCGTGCTGGCGTTCTTCCTGTTCAACACGTACGTGCTGGCGGCGTCGCTGATGATGTGCGTGGTGGAGGTGCTCGTCTTCTTCCTGCTGCACCTCACGCTGCTCTGCCTCTTCGTCGGCCACCTCAAGGGGCAGCCGCCCGGCCTCACCGCGTCCTGGACCATGGCGGGCGGCTACTTCGGCCTCTTCACCGCCATTGCTGGTGCGCGCCCCACCCGCCCTGCGCTGCTCTCTGCGCCCTGCGTTCCGCTCCACATTCTCTTCTGCTCTCTCTCCTCGCGCTCCGTACCTTTCCTCCCCCATGCGTTGCTCTGTCCGCCTTGTGCACATCGATCCCTCCCGCTATCTCGTCACGTCGCCCCCCCGCCTCGTTCGTTCCTCTCCCCGCTTTAAACTGACAGCGGCCGTCGCGACATAGCTCTAAACTGACTGTGCCACCCCTGCTGCCCTTTCTCCCCTTGCAGCGTGGTACTACTCGTTTGCGTGCCTGCTGAATTCGCTCATCAAGAAGCAAGTCATCCCCGTGGGCCCACCGCTCATCAAGTTCAACGTCGAATAAGCCCGCCAACCGCCCACTGCTCTACATTTTCCGCCATTCATGCGTGCCAGTCGCGGCTGGCCTGCACCCATGCTTGTTTACTCGCACCTGTCAGAGCGGTTGAAAGCCGCTCGTTCCAATTGGTGCCCTTACCACCATGTCTAGGACGCCTGTGTATTTAGCATTATTATTACTATATAGGTTTGAGAACATTCCTTTCTGCCTGCTGGGTGCAAAGGCTGTCTTTTCGCAATGATGCACGATTAACTTGGCTTGAGGCAAATATCAATTGAAAGCCCTGTGCCAAGATGTGTATGGTAACAGATGTGAGACAGAGGGGACGGAACGTGGTGGGGTTGGCCCTCAGTGGAGAACCCAGGGAAGCAGATGTCAAGGTGCTCAAGGCCATCTACAGGTGGCCTCTTTACCGCGTTTGATGGCTGGGGAAGCAGCTGAAGCCCCACCTGACAGTGAACCCGGCTCCAACTTCCAATGTGAAGAGATTACCGTAAGCTGCTTACTCACAGACGTGTTCCCCCCTTCCATGTGCTTGGGCATCCGTCATCCTCTGTGCTGGGGCATGGCATGGCAGGTGAGTGGACATTAGCCACAAAGGTACGGTATATTCTATGATTCCGTATGCATATACCGCGCTATGCACACATGTGCACAACTTTGCAGACAAAGGTCTGGTCCCCAAACATGCATGACCGTTAGAGACAATCAAGCGCAATTAGTGTCAACTTGAGCATCATCATTGCATTAATATTCACAACTACCCCAACAATCAATGCCCGTCGCTGCATATCACCGACAAATATCCAGCAGATCAAGTACTCTGGCCGACGAACATTCGATCGTCACTTAGGGTACATTCCTGTGTGGACACAAATGTCTCAATCCCGTCACAAAACCTATGTATCGTTCTGCACCGCATTAAACCTAAGAGACAAACATTTGCACCGCACTGTATCTCTTCGTTTGAGATACGATGCTTTTGTGACGCGCTTCAGGAATGTACCCTTATATTGCTTGAATGGGGAAACAAGAGGCGCGGCATACATAGGATATTCATACGCCTCCTATCAAATGCACCTCTTCTCAAACCTGCGCGGTTCAATGTCTTCTAGTGCGATCAAATTTACTACGTGCGGTGAAAAGCGGTGCGACGCAATGACAAGGATTATATGTGGAGTGAGAGATAAGAGCCCCAAGAGCAATACGTAGGGAATATGCTGCACAGACTGCAAGAATTAAATCCCCAACGCATAACGAGTCTTGGTACAATGCGCCACAATCTACCCTGGTTGTTCGTGGTCGTGGGTGCATGACTTGTACTGCGACGTCTGTTAGTTGCAGACACCTGAACTCCCACAAGGAGCCAACCAGAAGTTCCCGTTGCTTGGATTTATTCGGCTATTACCCGCACAGAAGTCTATGAATGGACTCGGCATTTTGCGCCCCACGTCCGGGACAAGAGAGAAACAGTCGTTTGGTAGCACCTGCGCTTTGGACCCTGCGGTGTATTTCAGGTCGGTTTTTCAGGTTGCAGGTGACGACAAATTCTGTAGAAGAAGCACACGTCGGTATTTCTTGCTCCAGAAGAAATAAAGTTTCTCAGCTTGGTTTATCTGCCCACTTGGGCGTCGCAAATGATAATGATATTCTCATCGATAAGTTTTGTTACGAGGCAGGTGTTCTAAGGATCGTAAACTGACACCGGCAATGTTTCGCATCTGCCCGCTACCTAGTCAATACGCTGCCGATGTGTTCGGTTGCATATGCTGATTCGTTGAGCCAATCGAGCTTTTCAACCAGGAGACTTGTGCTCGCACCGCATTGGTTGGTTCCCTTTTCGCGAAAACGCTTCCATGTCGCAGCGCAGGTCGCTCGCAATGCAACCTTCGCGAGGAAAGTGAGCAGCCCCCACCATCAATCAAATGCAGAAGTGCAGAAGTTGCTTCTGTTGTTGCCGTTTTTTTGCGAGGTGTACCATGACAAGCAGACACGCCCCGCAAAAGTCGCACCGCCACCCGAGTCGCCCGCACAGCAATGCGAACCAATGGCGAGGAAGAGAAGAGAGCTGTCCATGGGTGAATCGGTCGGGGCTACGCTCGGTTTGTCCTGCTTCACGCCCGCAACGAGGCCTTGGCCCATGTCACACCCTTCCTCCTTGCTCCATCCACACCACCCCACCGCACCCCGTACTGTTCTGATGGGCAAGCCATTCCCATCACCGCGACCAAACCATCCCACTGTCTCATGTCATGCCATTGACTAATTTGGCGCCGTCTAGTTTCTCTAGGTGCAGATTCAATCGACGTGCTTCTGTTCTGCATGACTCTCGATCAGTGCAGGTCGAATTAGAATCAGTTCTATAGATATAGCAACTTCCCCATAGTACATTTTCGATCTCGGCCAACGCCCTTAGACTATCGACATAGAATCCATGGCGGCGTTTAGCTGGGACTGGGTAGAGTCGTTGAAGCAGGCAGCCAGGGCCGAGCAAGTGCCGGCGGACTGGAATGCGCGGACGGCCCGCACGCCCGACGCTGCATGGCAAGCGGACGATCAGCGACCATCCACTCGTCGCAAGACGTCGCATGCCGTCGCCCCCACATGCAGCCCCGCAGCAGCCTCGCAGGACTTGTGGCGCCCCGTCTCTTCCGCGCACGAGCCCTCCGCGCTTCCCATCCTCGAGCCCTCCACCAGACATCGCTCCCCCTCCCCCACCTCCATCCCCATGTTCTTCTCCCCGCAGTCCCCGCCCTCCGCACAACCATCCTTCCCCCAACCAGCTACGCCGGTCCACGTCGTATCGCCAACGAGCGCTCATTTCCCCACGGAAGGTACTGCCCCCAGCCCCCCGGTGCGGAGACGCAGCGCATTAGCGCGCGGGGAGCGGGGCGACGCGGAGACGGAGGTGCTGCTGCAGGGCCTGCTGAGCTCCGCGCCTGCGAGCCGCCGGTTAGCAGCGCTGGGCCTCGTGCTTCTGCTCAACGGCGTGGGACATGGCGCGGCGGGCGCGTGGAAATCAAGCGCAGCGGAGGAACCCGCGTCGGCGGAGGAGACCCTGTCCCCCTGCAGCAGCGTTGGCAGCTGCGATTTGCCAGCCGATCACGAAGACGACACGGCTTGCACCTCCTCGTTCCGCGCCGCCGACCCATGGGCCACGCCGCAAGATTGCGCGACCGGCTCGCTCGCTGCCTCCCACGCGGCCGATCCAGTTGTCGGCTCGAAGCGGCGCCGCGTGGACAGCTTCGCGTCGCTTGCGACTGCGCAGGACACGTGGCAGTCAGCGCAGGAGGCGGGTGCGGAGGGGCGGGGGCAGGATCAGGCGGTGGGGAGCGGGGCGGGAGAGGAGGCGCAGGGCGGACAGACGGAGGAGTTTTGGCAGCAGCAGCGGCAGCAGCTGGTGGAGGCGATTCAGACGCTGCTGCAGGGATGCGCGCAGCTGCAGCGCTCGTAGTGCGGGGCGAGTTGTCGTGATGTAACAAGGGTTGCACCAGAAGGACGAGGCGCGATGCGCTAATTTGTGAGCTCGGCGCTTCCCTTTCCTCTCCTCTTGGTATGAGAACATGCAGCAGGCTGTTCATCCAAGCATCTCGCCATCCGCCCAAGCACCCGCAGTCTAAGCCTCCCCATCCTTCGCCACAAGCAAACATTGATTTAACCATTTCCTGTGCCGAGGAGGTGGGGGGGAGTAACGTAGAAGGTGCCCAAGGCTTAGGATGGCTAGCTGTAATATGGCCAATTGATTTGTAAGTAATTCATTTTGTAATAATCAGTACAGGGTCGCTAATTACAGGGAATGAGTTTCCATGCCTTTTTTTCTATGGGACAGCGGGACTTAAACTGGTGCTGCTGATAGATTTTCTTCCGGCCTTGGCTCTGGCAGTGGTGTGAAGAAGGAACTGAAGTTGTGAAGGAGAAGAGCTGAAGAGCATTAGCTATTGCTGCATCTGCTTTTCTTCGTTGAGTCACCAACCACATTCTTGTGGCGATAGTTCTGATGTGCAACTTAACCATAGGAAACCTTTTAGCGGTTGTGTAATACCATATCGGAGAGGATTATCGGAGAACTAAGGGCGGGGGCAGCGCGTTCATTTTCTTGGCTTAGCCCGAAACAGTTACCAGATTCAGCGGTTTGTAACCCTGATTTAGAGTAACGAGTGGACACGATGGAGTATACAGTGGATGAACGGTGGCTGTTTTCCGTGCCGTCAACCGAACAGAACACGTTCCCACGACGGCCGCGAACAACACGCGCATCATTCGAGAATGCCTGTGTGCAGGTCAGCGAAACCGCACCACGAGTTCGTCAAGCGCGTACGACCCTCGCAAATTCATGGGTTCACAAATACAGCTTCGTACTGCGCCCCGTCACCAGATCCACTAGCACAGGGTTACCTCATTGGGTGGGCGGTTGGGCAAAAGTGTGGCGGGACCTGTGCCTAATTCTGGACGCGCGTGTCCCACCTGGGACACAAACTAAGCGCGGTGCAAAAATGCTACAGTATTTTCCTGATTCGACGGGCGTCAAAATTTTGGAAAAGTGGAGAAAATGAACGCGCTGCCCACGCCCTAAGGTAAACAATTGTCAAATGTCTATGATGGTAGACTGTCAGAGATGAATCCTCTTCGTACAGTTCCCGCGCCAAGAAAATTCCGCGCTTCGGCCCAAAACTGTAACTCAGCTTGCGAAATTTATAGCGACCTCGCGAATCCACATTGTTGCCGGCGAACTTTGTCGTCAAAGCTCGGTTCACGAATCTGACAGGTCCGCCGAGGTGCGGCGCCCTCCACCTCACCACCAGAGACTGCTCGGTCTTGCCTTCTGTAATCCACTGTGCACCGCTCTTAATCGTTCTGACTTCCCCAAATTCCTGCACTGAATGCCTCTTCCTCAGCTAACGCCATTCTGAGATCATGCTTTCCTCTCTGAAGCCATGGATTTCACCGTAGTCAGTTCGTCAACTCCCTGACAAAAAGCTTCCTATGACTCTCAACAGATTATCACCAGCCAGTGTGACGTAATTTCAATCTTAGTGTTCTTCGTTGTGACTACTATGATTTACGTTTCAGTTACTTAGGGCGTTGTGACAGCCTTACCATCGTAATCTTAGGACTTCTTGATCCTCACTGTCTCGTCAAGGCTGACCCCCTTACCACGTCTTCTTCTAGCGCAGACCAATAATAGTAAGCCGCACGAGACATTCAGCGCTTATAGAACGAAGATTCCAGTCATTCGGAGCGGCTCCATTTATAGACCTTCAAAATCCGTGAGGGGACTCTCCCCATAGTACATGGCCGTCATCAACTGACATTTCGCCATCTACCTAGCAATGACCTCTATCTTAATCGGTGTCTCAGCTCCAGCATCACATAGCACCACTGCTCTAGTACTCTAGACCATGGCTTACGGTCGTAGGGAGAGAGGGGTTCGCTGAATGACGGTTCGCCGAAATGCCTTAGAGATCTTCTGAAGCTCTCCATAGGTTGCTATGGTAACGATTCAATTTGGCGATGGTCGACGCCGGTATACTGCTCGCGACAGCTGTTTTAGATGGCGACGGCAACGCTAAATAATTCGGCGAGGACTTCTGACATGGAATAGTGAGTCGGCGTCTTCTAAAGGTGGTGACTGAGAGGGTATTCTCTGACGGTGACAAACGACACGGCCGTTTCTCACGGTGACGAGTGACGAGTGACGGTGCCGTCAGACGGTGACAAGAGAGGGTGGTATCCTGACGGTGACGAACGACCGTGTCCCCTGACGGTGACGATCAGAGACCGATTTTCCGCAGTGACGACTGAAGCGACGCTCTCTGACTATGACGATCAAGGCGGTGACTTCTGACGGTGACGACTGATGCGACACTTCTCGTCTGTGACAATCAATACACTTGTCGCAGTAGCGACAGAAGTGACGCGTTCCGACTGCGACTTTTCAGTGTGATGATTGAAACTGCGAGTTCTCACGGTGACGATCGAGCGCCAACAAGGGATCAAGACTGCGAGTGTTGCTGCTGACAAAGCGACGTGCGGAAAGCGACGTGCGGAAAGCGGCGCGCGGAAAGCGACGTGCGGAAGGCGTCGTGCGGAAAGCGACGTGCGGAAAGCGACGTGCGGAAAGAGGCGCGCGGAAAGCGGCGTGCGGAAAGCGGCGTGCGGAAAGAGGCGCGCGGGAAGCGGCGTGCGGAAAGCGGCGTGCGGAAAGGGACGTGCGGAAAGCGGCGTGCGGAAAGAGGCGCGCGGAAAGCGGCGTGCGGAAAGCGGCGTGCGGAAAGCGGCGTGCGGAAAGCGGCGTGCGGAAAGCGACGCGCGGAAAGCGGCGTGCGGAATGCGGCGTGCGGAAAGCGGCGTGCGGAAAGGGGCGTGCGGAAAACGGTGTGCGGAAAGCGGCGTGCGGAAAACGGTGTGCGGAAAGCGACGTGCGGAAAGCGACGTGCGGAAAGCGGCGTGCGGAAAGAGGCGCGCGGAAAGCGGCGTGCGGAAAGCGGCGTGCGGAAAGCGGCGTGCGGAAAGCGGCGTGCGGAAAGCGGCGTGCGGAAAGCGACGAGCGGAGAGCAGCGTGCGGAAAGCGACGTGCAGCTTTTGAACACCGCTAAGTTCCCTCCTCAACTCTTGAACTCCCCCCTTGCACCACTCTGTTGTGTTGCTGCATCCCCCGTTGCACGTCCCAAACAAACGTGCTTCTGTTTGGCGCATGGCGGCGGTGGGTCAAGGCGCATTGGCAGCTGAGCTCAGTGGAGTCCAGAGAGAGAGAGAGAGAGAGAGAGAGAGAGAGAGAGAGAGAGAGAGAGAGAGAGAGAGAGAGAGAGAGAGAGAGAGAGAGAGAGAGAGAGAGAGAGAGAGAGAGAGAGAGAGAGAGAGAGAGAGAGAGAGAGAGAGAGAGAGAGAGAGAGAGAGAGAGAGAGAGAGAGAGAGAGAGAGAGAGAGAGAGAGAGAGAGAGAGAGAGTGGGTGTAGCATAGAGTAACAGTGCATTCATGCCATGCGCGCGTCCCTCTCTTTCCCAGTCCCCCCTCGCTGCCTTAGCTCGCTGCCATGCAGCCTCTGGTCCACCGTCTCCATGCGCCTTCCCCTCCCACCATTCACTGCATGCATGCTTGCCTTTTTTCCCTTGCGTACCCCCTGCTTGTCACTTGTCTCCTCACCTCAACTCTCTGCTCCGTTAACCTGATTCCCTCTTCTCCTCTCTTCCTGCATGCATCCCTCTACCAGCGCTCTACTGGGCGGCAGCAGCAGGGAGCAGGGAGGAGCAGTGGGAGCAGCGTGGCGAGTGGGAGAGGCGAGCGGTGGGATGACGCACGGCCTGGGCTGGCCCTGCTGACCACTGCTGCCGACCTGCTGGACTACTGCTGGGAGGGCTGCTGCTGGCCGTGTCAACATCCCTCTGCTCCTCATGCGACCGCTCGTCACACGGCTAAGAGTTTCTCATACCCTGTCTTCTTCCTGGTTGGTTTTCTTTCTTCTTTCGCTTATCGAATCTTGTGCGAAACAAAAACGTTGCTTTTGCTTGGGAGGGATCAAAAGTTGACAGAGGGACATAGGCGGCGTGTGGCGATGGTAGCACATGGCACTGGGGCGGCTTGAGCTCACACTAGAGTCCTAGAGGGTTAGAATGCACTCACACTCACGCCCGCGTCTCGTCCCCCTTGCCTGCTAGCTCGCCAACCTAGTGCCATGGGCTACCATCGCCTCCTCTTTCATTGCTGTTTTTATCTTCCAGCGTTCACTATATTATCCCTCCGTTTTGTTCTCCTCCTGCTCTCACTGCTCTTTTACAATCATACAATCGTGTCCTCGCTTTTATTGAACTAACATCTTAGATGCCTGCCCCCTTCTGCCTTCTCTCCTCTCTCCCACTCGCTCCCTTCCCTCTCCTAAGCTTTCCCCCTCTCGCACAGGGCTGTGGCAGCGTGGTGCGGGGAGGGAGGGCGGTGGGATGACGCACGGCAGGCAGTCACAGCGGCGTGCGTGCCTCCTGCATGCCCTGCTGACCACGCCGCTCCCTCACGCGCCCAGCGACCTTGAGTGCTGCTGCTGGGAGTGCTGCTGCTGGGAGGGCTGCTGCTGACAGTAACATGGCGACGAGCAGCTTCTGAATCCCGCTAAGTTCCCTCCTCAACCCTTGCCATCCTTACCGCCGCTTTACCTTGTAATTCGTGTTCACAAATGGCCAGCCTCTCTTTTCAAGCATGCTTCGAACCAAAACGCTGCCTTCCCATGAAGGTATTAAAAACGTTCGCGTGGCGATGGTAGCACATGGCACTGGGGCGGCTTGAGCTCACACTAGAGTCCTAGAGGGTTAGAATGCACTCACACTCACGCCCGCGTCTCGTCCCACTTGCCTGCTAGCTCGCCAACCTAGTGCCATGAGCTACCATCGCCTACCCTTTCACTGTGCCACCTGTTGTTTAACTTAAAGCTTTTACGATTTGTCAATCACGCCCATGCTCATATTAGACTAACTTCTTCAATTCCTGCCCCCTTCTGCCTTCTCTCCTCTCTCCCACTCGCTCCCTTCCTCTCCTGAGCTTTCCCCCTCTCGCACAGGGCTGTGGCAGCGTGGTGCGGGGAGGGAGGGCGGTGGGATGACGCACGGCAGGCAGTCACAGCGGCGTGCGTGCCTCCTGCATGCCCTGCTGACCACGCCGCTCCCTCACGCGCCCAGCGACCTTGAGTGCTGCTGCTGGGAGTGTTGCTGCTGGGAGGGCTGCTGCTGACAGTTACATGGCGACGAGCAGCTTCTGAATCCCGCTAAGTTCCCTCCTCAACCCTTGCCGCTTTACCTTGTAGTTCGTGTTATTAATTGCCTAGCTTCTCTTTTCAAGCATGCTTCGAACCAAAACGCCGCCTTCGCATGAAGGTATTAAAAACGTTCGCGTGGCGATGGTAGCACATGGCACTGGGGCGGCTTGAGCTCACACTAGAGTCCTAGAGGGTTAGAATGCACTCACACTCACGCCCGCGTCTCGTCCCACTTGCCTGCTAGCTCGCCAACCTAGTGCCATGAGCTACCATCGCCTCTCTGTTTTCATTGCATCCTTCCACCTTGGTTTCACTTCTGAATTCTTATATTTCACTGCTTTATTCCATCCCTGGATCTGTTTCCTGTATCCCGTATCCTTTTTTCTCCCTCTCGCAAGCCCATGCCCTGGTTCCAGGACAGAAGGAGTGGAACACTCACGAGCAACACTCCGAGAGGCAGCACTCCAAGAGCAACACTCCGAGAGGCAACACTCCAAGAGCGAAACTCGACACAGCTGTGGCCCATCCAGCCTCTGGTTTGACATCCAGCATCAGCACTGGTTTCACATTCATGCATTCATCCGTTATTGCTTCACTACTCCTGTTTCCCCGTTGTGTCCTTCATTCGCTCTCTCATTTCCTCTCCCTGCCTCTTTCACCTCCCCTTCCTGCTCCCTCCACCCATCCTCTCTCTACCCATCCCCTCTCTCCCTACCCATCTCCTTCCAGCAGCTTCATCTGGCGGGACTCGCTGCTCTGGTGAGAAGCTTCATCTGGCGGGACTCGCTGCTCTGGTGAGAAGCTTCATCTGGCGGGACTCGCTGCTCTGGTGAGAAGCTTCATCTGGCGGGACTCGCTGCTCTGGTGAGAAGCTTCATCTGGCGGGACTCGCTGCTCTGGTGAGAAGCTTCATCTGGCGGGACTCGCTGCTCTGGTGAGAAGCTTCATCTGGCGGGACTCGCTGCTCTGGTGAGAAGCTTCATCTGGCGGGACTCGCTGCTCTGGTGAGAAGCTTCATCTGGCGGGACTCGCTGCTCTGGTGAGAAGCTTCATCTGACGAGACTCGCTGCTCTGGTGAGAAGCTTCATCTGGCGGGACTCGCTGCTCTGGTGAGAAGCTTCATCTGGCGGGACTCGCTGCTCTGGTGAGAAGCTTCATCTGGCGGGACTCGCTGCTCTGGTGAGATGCTTTTTCTGTGGAAATACAAACCAGCGTCTTTAGGTACGCTAACCCCACTCTGACTACAGGGCAGCGCCTAACTACAGGTACGCTAACCCCACTCTGACTACAGGGCAGCGCCTAACTACAGGTACGCTAACCCCACTCTGACTACAGGGCAGCGCCTAACTACAGGTACGCTAACCCCACTCTGACTACAGGGCAGCGCCTAACCCTGATCCGTGCGGAAAGGGATAACGAACAAGCAAGCAATGAATATAAGCAGAATTGAAAGAGCGAAGAAAGACCAACTTTGCGAAAGTTAACTCTCTGAATTGTCAAGATAAGCTTTCTCTGCTGCGAATCTTTCTGTAATATATAGTGCAGGCTGTAGGTTATTGGCTGTTGGCTGTAGGTTATTGGCTGTTGGCTGTAGGCTGTATCTCTATGTATCGCGCAGGCTGTTAGGCTGTATAGGCTGTAGGCTGCTGCTCTTTTGTACAGTGCAGGCTGTAGGCTGGTGGCTGTGATATGTAAGCTGTGTCACTTTACTTGTAGGTTGTAGCTCTAGGATTGTTCTAGCTTGAAGTATAGAGAGCAGCGGAGCAGAGGACAATCCAGGTGAAGGAAAAGGAGGAAACAGAGGAGGAGAAGAGGTAGCAGAGGAGGAGAAGAGGAAGCAAAGGAGGAGAAGGGGAAGCAGAAGAGGAGAAGTGGAAGGAGAGGAGGAGGAGAGGAGGCAGAGGAGGAGGAGAGGTTGCTTTAACAGACGTGGTAAGATCTCCCTTGCCTTTTATACCATTGTCAACCTCCTTTCATCTTTGCTCGGTCTCTGTAGCCTCCTGTACTTTCCTTCTGTACTTTCCTTCTGTACTTGCCTTCTTACTTGCCTTCTTCCGTACACTTCTCTCTTGCCGCACTTCTTCATCTCACTATAAGCTGTTGATCTATGACTCAGATGCTCGGAAGGATAATACAGAGGGAGCAGACAATACGAGCAGACAAGGGGGAGCAGACAACAGGAGCAGACAACATGAGCAGACAAGAGCTAGCAGAAAAGATGGGGCGGAGGAAAGGGAGCAGCATTGAGGGAGAGGACATGTGATGGGGTAAGTCCCCTCTGATATTTCCTTATCCTTCTCATTCGCTCCTTTAAGGGAAAGTGAGGGAGGGGTAGGCGCCTGTGCTCCAAGGGGCTGTGAGGGGCTCTGCATACACATGTATGCGTCAGTCAGTCTTCAGCCGTGGAGTAGGTCCCATGGTCCGCCCCAGTCACCAACGCCTTGACACATGTGTATGTGCTGCCGCGTGAGTGTTGCCTGTGCGCTGTGTGTGCAATGCGTGTGTTCCACGTGTGCGACACGCGCGCAGAGGACATGAGCGGCGCGTTGGAGGAGCAGAGCGCGGGCGCGCTGCTGAGGGTGCCGCGCGCCGTGCGGGAGACGAAGCGCGTGCGCGACGACGCCGTGTCGCTCAAAGGCACGGTCGCCAGCATCCTGCAGCGGCTGCAGCAGGTGGGGGGAGGAGATGGGAGGGAGGGGGGTAGTGGATAGGCAGATTCAGGGGGAGTTGGGGGGGAAGGGGAAGGAGGTGGTTGGGAGAGGGGGGTTGGGGGGGAATCGGACTGAGGGAATTTGCAGAGCTGGGTGGGGAATCACACCCGAGTATACATGCAGGTGAATATATATAAACGTGTGTCCATGTGTGTACGTGTCTTCCCTTGTGCTGAGCTGGATCAGGTGGAGGCCACGTCAGCAGCATCAGTGGCGGTGCTGGCAAAGGTGGATGCAGTGAAGCACCAGATGGAAGCAGCGAGAGACACGATCCAGGTGAGTCTGATTTTGAGCCGACTCAGAAACGAGAGACACGCTGCAGGTGAGCAGCAGACGTAGAATCACACCCAAGAGATGCTTCCTCACGAGGTGCTTCCTCACGAGGTGCTTCCTCACGAGGTGCTTCCTCACGAGGTGCTTCCTCACGAGGTGCTTCCTCACGAGGTGCTTCCTCACGAGGTGCTTCCTCACGAGGTGCTTCCTCACGAGGTGCTTCCTCACGAGGTGCTTCCTCACGAGGTGCTTCCTCACGAGGTGCTTCCTCACGAGGTGCTTCCTCACGAGGTGCTTCCTCACGAGGTGCTTCCTCACGAGGTGCTTCCTCACGAGGTGCTTCCTCACGAGGTGCTTCCTCACGAGGTGCTTCCTCACGAGGTGCTTCCTCACGAGGTGCTTCCTCACGAGGTGCTTCCTCACGAGGTGCTTCCTCACGAGGTGCTTCCTCACGAGGTGCTTCCTCACGAGGTGCTTCCTCACGAGGTGCTTCCTCACGAGGTGCTTCCTCACGAGGTGCTGGCGAAGGTGGATGCAGTGAAGCGGCAGATGGAGGCGGCGAGAGACACGCTCCAGGTGAGCAGCAGGCCCTTTTCCCCCATTTCCCTCTCCATCGTCCCTCTCCATCATCCCCCCTTTCCCTCACTCACGGTTGCCTTGCCTTTCCCCCCGTCCCTTTCCCCTCCCCTTCACCATTCTCCTTCCCCCTCTCCATTTCCCGCTTCCTCTTCTCCCACTCCTCTTTCCCTCTCCACTTCCCCTCTGCCCTTCCCTATCTTCTTTTTTTCCACCCCTCACCCCCTCCGCCACCACAGTACGCGGCGGGGCTGGCGCAGCTGAGCGCGTCAGAGGAGCAGGTGTTCGCCAGTCTCCCCACATACCCTTCCCTCTTCCTCTCCACTCCCCCCCTCCGCTTTCCTCTCTCCACTTTCCCCCTTCCCCCTTCTACCACAGTATGCAGCGGGGCTGGCACTTCTGAGCGCGTCAGTGGAGCAGGTGTTCGCCAGTGGGGACCTGCCACGTGTCGCCGAGACATTGGCCAACATGCGGCGCTGCCTGGAGGTGGTGGGCGATGTGAGTCCCCCCTTGCACCTGCCCCCGCTTCTGTCCCTGTGGCCTGTAACACCCCGTACCCCGTGTCCCATGACCTCTGCTGCATGCCCCATGCCCCATGCCTGTGCCCCACGCCCCATGTCCAATGCGTCTGCTCGCCGTGCACATCCCTCCTCTTTCCTCCTCCCCGTCATTGTCTCTCTCACCTCTGCGCCTACCGCTTCGGCACTTCCCCTATCCCCCTACCTCTCGCCCTATCGTCCATCAGGCGCCCTTCCATGTGTTTTCCCTCTGTCGCCTCTCTTCCCCCTCCCTCCATCATCCATCAGGCACCGGAGTTTGCAGCCAACAAGAGGCAGCTGCAATCGCTGGAGGACCGCCTGGAGCAGATGGTGCAACCGCGGCTGTCAGACGCGCTCACACACAGCAAGGTGGGTCTAGATTCGTGCACTCCATGCTTGAAGCACCTGGAAGAGCACCTTAGATTCGTGCACTCTGTGTGTGTGTGTGGTATCATGTGCGGCGCTCTTATACCTGAGTCACCGCTTTCTTCTCTCACACCCACCTTCCCACACCAGTTGGACGCGTGTCGCTCGCTGACAGGCATCCTGGCAGCCATAGGCCGGCAGCACACAGTGGAAGCTCTCTTCTGCCCCGTGCGCTGCCGCCCCCTCACACGCCTGTGGGAACAGTTCGAGGTCACAGCTGTGGCACCGGGCGCAGGTAGGGGGGAAGGAGGGGCGGAGAGGCAGGGGGATTGGGATGGCAGTGAATCCTTCAGATCAAGTTGTGGGGTGAAAACGGCCGTCCGCTCACACGCCTGTGGGAGCAGTTCGAGGTCACTGCTGTGACGCCAGGCGCAGGTGAGCAGGCAGAGAGAGGAAGTGGCAGAAGGGTGGATGGGTTAGGACGGGAGAGGTGCTCTAGTAATGGCTGTACTGGGTCGGCTGCCACGAGCTCACACGCCTGTGGGACAGTTCGAGGTCACTGCTGTGGCGCCGGGCGCAGGTAGGGGGCTAGGGGGTGGAGTGGTGGAAGGGGTTGGCAAGCCAAAGATGCTTCGATCATGGCTGTAGAAGTAAGCGCAGGCGCAAAATTATCGTCCACGCGCTCACCCACCCCTTTTCCTCTGTTCAACACTCAAGTTGTTTTCTCTGCCCCTCACACCCATATTCTTATCCATTCTGCTCCTCTCTCCCCCTTCTCCCTCCACCTTCCCCACTCCCTTCATTGCCCTTCCTCATCTCCTCACAGGCCCCTTGGCAGCAGCGTTACAGTTCCCCGAGTGGTTACCGCGCTGGTATGACGAGATGCTACTGGCAGTGGAGCAGGAGGCGCGCTGGTGTGTGGCGGCCACAAACTCATATCTCTCTCCTCCTCCCCCCTCCCCCCTGCCCCCTGCCCCCTGCCCCCTGCCCGTCTTTCGCCCCCCCAGGCCCATTGGCAGCAGCGTTATAGTTCCCCGAGTGGTTACCGCGTTGGTACGATGAGATGCTGTTGGCAGTGGAGCAGGAGGCGCGCTAGTGCGTGGCAGCCTTCCCCCACCACGCCTCCCCCCTGCTGCTGCGCCTGCTCACAGCCACGTGGGATGGGCTCTCTTCCAGCTTCACTGCCCGTGTGGATGCTGCTGTGTCTGATGCTGCGCTCGCTGCTCTCGCTAGTGCTGCTGCAAGCGAATCAGGTAGGAACGAGGTTCCGTCTGCTGCTGCGCCTGCTCACCGCACAGCCACGTGGGGCAGGCTTGCATCCAGCTTCACTGCCCGCGTCGATGCTGCTGTGTCTAACGCTGCCCTTGCTGCTCTTGGGAGTGCTACCGCTGATGCGGACGAAACAGGGAGGGAGGGGGGGGTTGGGGAAGCGCAGCATGAAGGCAAGGGAGGGAGGGGAAGAGGGCTTTGGCACCTGCACTCACCCCCGCTCCTTCACTCCCCTCAACTTCCTTTTCTCTCCTTTTGCTGCTACCTGCCTTCCCTCCCCCGCCCCGCCCTGCAGCGTCTCAATCACGGCCATCCACTCGCCTCGCTCTCCTGCTCGCCCTGCACGCCACCACCACCACCTTCCCCCGCAACCTCATCCCCTTCTCTCGCTCTCCTCGCCCTATATTTTTCTCCTACTGCTGTTTCCTGCCTTCCCTCACGTGTCTGCAGCGTCTCAATCGCGGCCATCCACCCACCTGGCTCTCCTGCTCGCCCTGCACGCCACCACCACCACTTTCGCCCGCAACCTCTCCCGCCTCCTCGCCTCCCTTCCTTCCGCCACCGCCGATGCCACTAAACCATCCTCCACTGAAAAAAACACCCAAGGAGCCGCCGCAGCAGCAGCAGCAGGAGGAGGGACAGGAGGAGCGGCAGGAGCAGGAGCAGGCGGAGGGGAGAAGGGCAGCAAGAGTAAGGGCAGGGAGGAGGAGGAGGGGGAGCAGGAGGGGGAGCAGGAGGGGGAGCAGGAGGGGGAGCAGGAGGGGGAGCAGGAGGGGGAGCAGGAGGGGGAGCAGGAGGGGGAGCAGGAGGGGGAGCAGGAGGGGGAGCAGGAGGGGGAGCAGGAGGGGGAGCAGGAGGGGGAGCAGGAGGGGGAGCAGGAGGGGGAGGGCCAGTGAGTGTGAGCGCGGTGGTGTGGGCGGTGTTGTTCCGTCCCCTAGAGCCGTTCAAGCAGCGCCACGGGGACTATGAGCGCGCACAGCTGGCGGCGGATCTGGCCGGCATAGATCTCCGACCGGGCGGTGCAGTGAAGCAAGTGGGGCAGCGCGGACTCGTGCTGGTGGATGCTGTGCGGCGCATGGAGGTGAGCGAGGCGGTGCTGTGCGGTGCATGGAGGTGAGGCGCTGCTGTGTGGTGCATGGCAGTGAAAGGGGTGCTGGAAGGGGCATGGAGGTCATGGCAGCAGAAATGGAGGCAGCAGTGGAGTGCTGTCTCATCCCAGTCTGCTGTTTGTTTCTTCCCATCACCTCTTCTCTTTTCTCCGTTTCTCACTCCCCACCTCACAGGCGGCCATCCCAGCAGCCATGGCAGCACTAGAAGCAGCAGTGGAGCGCTGCCTCGCTTTCACAGGGGGCTCAACAGTTTTGCTCACCGCTCTCCACCACTCTCTGCTCCTCTTCCTTCCTTGCACAGGCGGCCATCCCAGCAGCAATGGCAGCATTAGAGGCAGCAGTGGAGCGCTGTCTCGCCTTCACAGGGGGCTTAACAGTGTTGCCCACCGCTCTCCACCACTCTCTCTCCCCTCCTCCCACAGGCGGCCATCCCAGCAGCCATGGCAGCACTCGAGGCAGCATTGGAGCGCTGCCTCGCCTTCACAGGGGGCTCAGAGGCAGCAGCGCTCCTCACCGCTCTCGACCACTCCATCCTCCTCTTCCTCTCCCGCCTCTCCTCCTGCCTCCAGTCCCTCCCCCCTATCTGCGGCCTCTCCCCTCCCACCCCTCCTTCCTCCACCACTCCTTCCGCTCCAACCCGAGCCTCCGGCCCAGGCTCAGACCGAACCAATCCAGTGTCAGACGATCCGTTAGCCAGTGTACCGGACCCAGCGGGGTACGGTGGATCAGGAGCAGGCGGGGTGGAGGAGGAGGAGGAGTGGGCGGTGGTGCAGGGAGCGGTGCAGCTGCTGATGGTAGCTGAGAGTGTGGCGTGGCGGTGCGCGTGGCAGTCTTTGAGGCCTCCCTCCGCACTGCCCTCACACAGCTCTCCGCCCGCCTGGGCCTGGATGCTGGGGGGGATGGCGCGGGGGAAGGGGGAGGGGAGGGCGCGGGCGGGGAGGTGAAGCGGGTGGGGTCGGTGGGTGGTGCAGGGGGAGCGGGAGGGGGGGGCGGAGGGGGAGGCGGAGCAGGAGTGGGAGGGGGAGCGGAGGGCAGTGAGGTGGATAACTAATTACAGGGATCACTAATTACAGGGATAACTAACTACAGGGATCACTAACTACAGGGATCATTAACTACAGGGATCACTAACTACCAGGGATCATTAACTACAGGGATCACTAACTACAGGAATCACTAACTACAGGGATAACCAACTACAAAGATCACTGACTACAGGGATCACTATCTACAGAGACTCTAAAAACAGGGCTTGTGCACAACGGCACCTAACTACAGGGACTCTAAATTCAGGGCTTGTGCACCCAGGCATGCTAACCACAGGGACTCACTGCACGCATGCACGCTACCCGCAGGGATACCTACCGTAGTAAATACAGGGCTTGTGTACCCAAACACTGTAACTTCAGGGACATCAAATACAGGGCTTGCTGCGCACCCAGGAACACTAACTTTACATAGACACAAAATATAGGGCTTGTACGCCCAGGTGCTAGCTACGGGGATGGGACGGGACCAGAAGCACCACTGATTACATCCCAGTTATGTGTGTAGAGAAGCACTAGGCACGACCGACCAAAGGCCCCTAACTGACTTAGGCATAGGGTGCAACACCCAGAAATTCATCAGTATATTATGCACCACACTACACTAGTAAGTGGAACCTGCTCCAATTCCCCCCAAGACCACATAAGCTCTACAATAGGAGTAATTAATGGTACCCTACGATACACAGTTCACACAGTCTCCACATCTGCTGTGTGATCATGACCAGCAGGCATCCATCCACCAGCCTGATCTTACAACTCAACACCACCACCACCAAGTGTTCGGCCCTCCAGCCACCCTTTTACCACATCACCACCAGACCATGATGCTGTTCCTCATCACCCTCCCGCGTCACGCCACGTCACGTTGGTCCGAGATGACGAGACCCGAGGCCCAGGTGGGGAAGAAGAAGGGGATGAAGCCGCGGAACAGCAGCAGCTTGGCAATGTTGCGCGGCTGCGGCATGGGCTGAATAAGCAGCTCGTGCGTGCCAGGCTCCTCCGTCAGCACGCCCATGACAGTGATGGTCTGCCCGGCACGGATGTACCCCTTGCACACCATCAGCTGCGGCGACAGCGCCTTGCGCCGCTTCTTCCTCTCCTCCTCCACGCTCCCGCCCTCCCCGCCCGCTGCGCCCCCAGCAGAAGGGGGAGAGTCCTCGGTGGAGAGTGGTACCTCGGTGGAGATGTGCACGAGGGGCGTGGCCACGCCGATCTCTGCGGCGTGGAAGGCCTTGACGATGGCGCTCATGCCCGTCTGCCCGTCCGTGATCCGGAAGTCCACGGCGCGCGTCTGCCGCACGTGCTCCGTCCACGCGTCCGCCTTGCGCAGCCCCGGGTAGTACGACCGCAGGCTGCTCTCCACCAGCACCAGCCCCTGCACGTGCGCGCGCGGGTGGGGGGGGGGGTGTGAGAGTGCGCGTTAATCGATCAGATAAACGAGTGCAGATTTTCGAAGGGGAAGGGGAGGGAAACGGGTGCGGGAACGGGGGGCTGCAAAAGCGAGAGCAAGGCATGACTGGCTAGACGGCCTTATGAACAAGCCGGAGTTGAATTCTAGACGCGTCCGCCTTGCGCAGCCTCGGACAGTACGGCCGCACGCTGCTCTCCGCCAGCACCAGCCCCTGCGCCCGCCGCGCGTGCGCATGCGGTTGGGGTGGGTGTGCGCGTTCGTCAGTTAGAATGACGAGCGCGAAATAGAGACGGGCGAGGGGAGGAGGAGGGGCGGGTGGAAGCGGGGCGAAGTAGCAAGGGCATTGACCAGTTAGACGGTCTTAAGTTAGGGACACGCCGGAATTGGATTCGCCGCCTTATATCGCGTACAAATCGGTACTCACGGGCACGTTGTGGAACTCGGTGGAGAGCAACTCTTCGTGCAGCAGCGACACCGCGCCGCGCACCACCACGGTCTGCCCGCGCCCCAACCGCCGCCCCAGGCGCGTCTTGCTCTTGGCGTGCAGGAACCGTTGGATCACGCGCCGCGGCCGCCCCGCCATGCGCACGTTGAACAGCAGCAGCGCCAGCCATCCGCCGCCGAGGAGCGCTATAACGAGGATGCGTTCCGTGCCCTCGAGCGAGAGCGCGAGCCAGAAGATGGCGACGAGCGCGGCGACATTGACGGCCGTGAACGCGAGCAGCGCGAGCGCCTGCGCGACGGGCATCTTGTGCGATTCGGACACCGTGCCGATGGGCACCTGCGGGTGAGCACGGGCGGGGAACACGGAGCCATGTGGACCGATGAGGGAAGATTAGATCTTGTTAGGCAACGAGAAAGCCATAAACTTTGACCGCATTTCGACGAACGGGTGGCGGAAGCGCGCGGATAAGCGCACCTGGACGCGGCCGCTCTCAGCGCTCATGTTGGAGCTCGTCCCCGCAAACGACTCCGGCGCCTTGCCCTGGCTCGCGCCGCCATTGCTGTCCACATCGCCCTCCGCGCGCGCCCATGAATCCCCTTGCGGCTTGCGGGCCGCTTCCACGCCTAGTTGCGCATACGACGGCTTTCCGAAATTAAACATGTTGGTTGCTGTAAGCGACCAATGAATCTACGACGACCTAAGGATATTCGTCAGAACCTCCTAGCCTGCTTCTATGGCTAATCGTGAGATGCGCCTGGGGAAATGTGGTGGTGGTGGTTGAGCAGAGAGGAGTGGAGGTTCTTTTGAGGGGCCATCTAGATTGACACCCTTGCAAGGCTACATGGTAACATTTACGGCTAATAGGGGTCGCAAATCCTGGGTGCTAAATAGATCTCCGGGACATGCGAGCTCGCGAGGTGCGAAGTACATTGGGAGGAGGCAGCACAACACCAATTGCCTCGAGATTTGCGGAAGACCAAGGGGTCGCGCAGGTGAGGTGATGCTGGCGCGGGCAGGTCTTTCCGCCATGCGCGCAGGTGGGAACGAGGGATGGAAAGCGCTGCGCTGGATTGATTTCAAATAAAGTACACTTACAATGTTAGAAATCAATAACCTTCTAAAGAAAAAAGTTTGAATGTGGAGGGCAACTTGTGCTTGTACGGACGGACTGTCACGATTTTCGTTTGAGGGCATGCGGGCGCTTCATGTTCACTGCTCGTTTCTTCTGCCCGCGCTGAGCCTGGTTGGCTGGGGGTCTGCTACGCACTGTGGAGGACAATTCGTGTGCTGCCCGTTACTGCAGAGTGCCACCGTCAACTGTCGGGTGGCGGGTCCGTTCCGTTTCCCGCCAGTCCACATCCCTGGCACACCATCCCGCGTTTTCATCCATGTCTGCTTCGAGTAAATTAGGGTTTCTGCGCGGCCGCGTTCGACGACTTAGGTATTCTGGCCAAAGACCCGCTAGTCATTGGCCTTCAGGAATCTTTTCACTAACTAATAAGTTATGCGCTTCATTCACGAGAATAAGCGAGCTTTGCTTCTTTGATTTGAAGCAATGCGTGAATTATCTGAAAGACTGGGTGGCTGACCCGTCACCAGCCAACCGTAAGCACATATTCTGACGGAGCGTACGGACAGAATGGAAAGAGACGCGCAGCCTCGTTTCCGGTCCCGTCAGTTCATGCCAGTGCCTATCGGCAATCCCGGGGACCTGCTGTACACATGCATTCTCAAGAACGCGTGGGGTGCGGAGGTGTCTCCGCTGCACGACGTGCCGCTCTTCTCCTCCTCCGCCAGTTTCCACTTCGTCTGCCTCTGTCCACGTGGCTCAACCTACGACATGGCCATTTCGTTAACCGAGCGTCTCAGCCCGTTAAAGTCTCGTCTCGTTAACAGAAACCTCTCGCGCCTGTCGGAGCCGTCCCCGTGGCACTTTGGGCTGCTGCCGCAGACCCTAGCGAACGAGGAATTCCCATCGGAAGTCGCCGGCTTGTCGAACGACAACCAGCCGCTCGATGCGATCGAATTAGGGTTCGGCGTGCGACAGGTGGGCGACGTGTACGAGGTGCGACCCATCGGCGCGTTTGGGCTCGTCGACCCGGTAACCAGGGCGCTTTCGTGGAAGGTTCTGGTGGTGGCGTGGGACGACCCGCTGTTCGGGCGCGCGACGAGCCTGGACGACGTCGAGTCGCTGTTCCCGGGGGTCACGGATCGCCTGCGCGCATGGCTCGCGCGCTACCGCACGAGGCCGGGACGAGGTACCACATGCACGAACGGTGATGTCTCCACGTGTCCTGTTGAGCTGTAGTTTGTGTCCTGTGCTCCGTGGTCTGTGGTCCATGTGGCATGCATGCAGTGCGGCAGCCGCATCATGCGCGTTCCAGATCTGCCGCGTTTGCATCTCCATGTGTGTCAGTGGGTCGGGATAATTGCGGGTCGCGATTGTTGCTATCGCCGTGCGCGTACTGCCATCGTGTCAGTGTCTACATCTTGTCAGGCCGTGCTCGAACATGGCATGATCGATCCACCCGCCCGTTACCCCGCTATCCTTGTGCTCTTTCCACCCAACCTCCCCCTCTACCTCTCCCCCGCTTTCCCTGTCGCCATCCCGCGCAGCCCCCAAGGCGCAGGCGGTGTTTGCGCAGGGCGGGCGGCCGGCGTCCCCCGACACGGTGATGCGCGTGGTGGCGGAGGCGAACGCGTGCTGGCAGCTCTTCAAGGCCACGCGCTGGCCCGACGCGCCCTCCCCCCCGCTGCTGCCGCTGCGCCCACCTACGATCACCAGCAGCCGCAGCAGCAGCAGCAGTGGGAAGGGGAGGTGCGGGTGGGCGCAGGCGGAGCGGCGAGTCGCAGGCGGCGCAGCAGCCGCGGCAGCAGCGTGAGTAGTGGCGCTGGGAGCGCGGGGGGGGACAGCGGAAGTGTGGTGGAGTGGGGCGGGGGAGCGCAGGTGCTGCGGATAGAGGGGGCGATGGAGGGCGAGAGAGAGGCGTTTGCGGGAGCGGAGCGGGGCGGGGGACTGGACGGGTGGAGGGGCAGTGGGGGTGGCATGGCGCAAGCAGGACCAGCTGCTGATGCTGATGCTTATGCGCGTCACGGCGTTGACTCGCACGACTTGCTTGGCCGTCAGTATGAGCGGCTGATGCAGCCTGATTTGTCGGACGCTGCACGCGCTGACAGCTTCGCCTTCCATGACGTCAGCTGTGGCTCCCCCCCTGAGTGTTCTTATAGCGAGAGCCCGCCTCGGCTGCTGCAGTCCAGGAGCGAACCGGGGCCTGCTTATATCGGGGACGAACATGATTATGATCACGATCATGAGCACGATAATGAGGATGACGATGAGTATGCGCATAGGCACCGCCCGTTTGAAGAACAGCACCATCCCTATGAGGAGTATTCGTTTAGCGAGCACTCGTTAGTGGATCACTCGTTAGACAGCTCGTTGGACGGAGCAGCCGTGCAGCAGCGCGCACCCGCAGGCGGCATGGGGTGGGACAGCCCCGACAGAACCGCCGCCTGGGGCGCGCATGACGCCCGCGCGCCCGCCGCGGAAGGGATGGGGGTCTGGGATGGGGCGAGCGGGGCGGAGGATGTGCGGGGCGGAGTGGAGGGGGGAGGAGGGGCGCGGGGGGCGCACGGGGAGGAGCGGCTGGAGGATGGGTTGGTGGACGGCGCGAGAGAGCTGAGCTTCGCGCGGGGCGTGGCTCATGGCGACGCGGGCTGCGACGATGGGCGACGCGCGAGTGAGTGGCGCGGGGCGGAGCGATTTCCGCGTGGCCAGGCGGAAGCGGAGCGGGATGGGGGGACGTTTGAGAGTGGTGGGGTGCAGATGGCGTGGGACGAGAGGGGCGCGGGGGAGGGGGGCGCGGGGGGTGTGTACCATTCTGATGGGTATGCGCGCGGTTACACCACCTCCGACGCTGATACTAGCGCGTGGGAGGGGCGCGAGGGGGACGACGGGGAGGAGGAGGAGGAGGAGGAGGAGGAAGAGGAGGAGGAAGGAGAGGAGGGAGGGGAGGAGGGAGCGGAGGAAGATGGGGAGGATGGGATGTCGGTGATGGAGAGGAGTGTGGATGGGGACGAGGAGAGGGGAGAGAGTGGCGCGGAGGAGAGTGAGGAGGGGAGTGAGGGGAGGGAGGAGGAGAGTGAGGAGGGGAGTGAGGAGGGGAGGGAGGGAAGGAGGGAGGAGGAGAGGGAGGAGAGCAATGGGGATGAGGGGTACAGAGAGGAGCATGGGCGGGAGGGCGTATGGATGGGCCGCACGCGAGACGGGAACGTGGATGAGCGAGGCATGGGCGCCGGCATGAGTGGCGGCATGAGTGGTGAGGTGGGCAGGGGTGTCGGTGGTGTGGGGCAGCAACAACAATACTGGCAACAGAGACAGCAACAACAACAACTACAACTACAGCAACAGCAGCAGCAGCAACAGCAACAGCAGCAGCAGCAACAACAGCAGCAGCAGCAGCAGCAGCAACAGCAACAGCAACAGCAGCAGCAACAGCAGCAGCACCAGCTGCAGCAACTGCAGCGGCAGCTGCATCAGCAGCAACAGCAACAGCAACAACAGCAGCAGCAGCAGATGCCTGCATCCCTGTCGTTGCTCCGCTCTCTCTCCCTCACCAACAGCCGCCCCCCCCTCAACCACCCCGCCCACGCGCCCTGCTCCTCCGTCTCCTCCAGTCCCGCGCACACCCCCCGCGCCCACCACCCCCTCGCTGCCAGCGCCGCCAGCAGCCCCACTGCCGCGCACCCCCCGCTCCCCTCCGCGCTGCACCCCCCCCTCAGCCACGCGCCCGCCCACCCCTCCGACCGCCGCCGCTCCTTCCCCCTGCACGCGCACCGCCACTCGCTCTCCCACATGCACCACATGCACCACATGCGCCTGCCGCCACACCAGCGCCAGCAAGCGCAGCAGAGGGCGCAGGCGGGGGTGGGCGCGGAGCGGCAGATGCACAGGCAGGGCGCACTAGACGATGGCGCAATGGCGGGCAGGGATGGGCGGATGGAGCCGAGCGGCCAAGCAGGGGCGGAGGGCGATGGGGCGGGCGCAGGCGGCGCAGAGGGCGCAGGGAGCGCAGGGGGAGGCAGGTTGTTCCGCAAGGCCAACTCCAGCTCGCCCCGCACGCTCAACCGCCCCTCCTCCGCCTCCAGCAGCCCGGGCAACGCGCCTGCGCGCCCCCCGGGGCAGGGGGGCGCGGCGCTGGAGCGCCCGCTGGCGCCTCTGAGGAGAGACGCGGCGGCGCTCATCCCGGGGCTGCTGAGGGCGCGCGGGGGGAACGCGCAGGGGCGCATCATGCGCTCCCAGTCGCTGTGCCAGGGCGCGTTTGGAGACGTGCTGGGCGCCCACAGCGGCACATCACCTGGAGACCCCTCTCACGCTGCTGCTGCTGGTGCTGCTGGTGCTGGTGGTGCGTTGGGTGGGGGTGGGGATGATGGCGGGATGGTGCTAGAGCGGTCCATGTCCTTCACATCCGCGGATGGCGCAGGGGGGGTGCCGCGCTGGGTGCAGCAGCGGCTGCAGCAGAGCGTGTGGCAGGAGCAGGCGGGGGTGCGGCAGCAGCAGTCGCAGCACCACCACCAGCCTCAGGAGCTGCAGCAGCGGCAGGAACAGGGGGAGGAGGGAGAGCAGGAGGAGCAGGAGGGGGGCAGAGGGCGCATGGCAGGGCTTGGTGCAAGGATGCACGGGGAGCAGCAGGCGTCAGTGCCGCCACTCCCCCCTGCACCCGCCTCTACAAGCGCGCCCCCCATGCCTCCGCGCTGGCCGCCCTCCGCCCACTCCCCCTCGCCCCCCTCCGCAGTCGCACGCTCCTCCTCATCCCCCGCACACGTCCCTGTTTCACCCGCCACTGCCGCCATCCCCCTCCAGCACCCCCCAACTGCCCCACAGCAGCACATGCGGCGATCTCGTTCCATGTCCCAATCCGCCTTCGCCCCCTCCCTGCCCTTCCTCTCCCTCGCCCAGGGCCCCCATGCACTCTCCCTTGCCTCTCCCCCACAGCCGCCGCTCCTGCCCCCTCCATCAGCAACAGCAGCAGCAGCAGCAGCAGCTGGTTTCCCCGTCGCGCGTGAAGCTGTCTCACAGCTACAATGCTGGGGAGGCCGCCGTGCCTTCCTCCTCACCCGCTCACACGCACAACCTCGCCCAGCGGCCTCTTGCACAGTCACGATCACACACCTCAATCTCGCTACAAGCACAGTCCCTAGGCTCCATCCCGCTGCAAGCACAATCCCAGGTCTCAATCCCGGTACTATCACAATCCTTAGCCGCCGTCCCGCTACAATCACGGCGCCTTCCTCCCCAGCGTCCCTCTCGCTCTCTTTCCAGTGAAGCCTCCTCCCCTCGCGAGCCCTCTCTTGTCCCCTGCTCCTCCTCCTCCTCCTCCTCCGCCTCCTCTCGCCCTCTCAGGCCGCCTTGCCCCCCTCCAGCTCCCCCACTCCCCCCTGCCTGCGCCTCCTCCCCGCCCCTGCGCCCCACGCGCAGAATGCAGCGCCGCCACACCCTCCCCCCGCGCGTGCTCGATGGCACCCCAGGGGGAGGGGCAGGAGGTGAGGGGAAGGAGGGCGGGGCGGAGGGGGAGCAGCAGGGGGAGCCTGGGCGTGGGGGAGGCAGTTGGGGGGATCGGACAGGGGGAGGAGAGGGGGAGGAGGAGGACGAGTTTGTTAGGGCGGCAGCTGCAGTGGCAGGAGTGGAGGTGCTGGTGGGGAAGGCAGCGCGGGGCACAGGTGTGAGTGGTCCAGGTGCAATGAATCTAGGGCGCTTGAGACCCGTGCAGCAGCACCAGCCGCCACCACCCCCCCCACCACAGCCACCACAGCAGCAGCAGCAGCCACAGGCACAGGCACAGGCACAGGCACCGGCACAGGCACAGGCACAGGCGCAGACACAGGCACAGGCACAGGCACCGGCACAGGCACAGGCACAGGCGCAGACACGGCAGCAGCAGGATGCGCGAAGGCAGCAAGGCATGGTGGGCGGGAGGGAGGTAGGAGCTAGGCCCCCGCGCATGGTGCGGCATGGCAGGAGTGGTAGCCTGGCAGACATGAGCAGCATGACCTTCACCGTGGGCGGGGGGGCGGGCATGGGGATGGGCATGGGGGTGGTGATGGGTGTGGGGATGGGAGGAGCAGCAGAGAGCAGCGGCCGGGGCATGGGCGGGATGGGGGCAGGGGGTAGAGGGGGAATTGACGGAATGGGGAACAGCAGTGCAGCAGCAGGGGGGTTGAGACAGAGCTTTCAGTTGCAGCTACAGCTACCACCCTCCACGCTGGGTCTACGCAGCTCTGACCCCTTTCATTCCGCCGCATCACGCAATGCGGTGCAGATGGGTGGCAGGGGTGGCGGCATGGGTGGAACAACAGCAGCAGCGGCGGCGGCAGCAGGGCGGGGAGTGGGCAGGGGAGGGAGGGGAATGAGGGCGCGGAGCATGTCAGGCGACTTCTCACACATGTCCATGCTCGCACTTCTGGGCACACAGGCACAGGCACAGACACAGCAGTCGTCCCTGGATGCACATGCACAGCGCGCACATGTGCCGCTAGACGCACAGCCACAGGCACAGGCACAGCCCGCCCTCATGCCCTCCTCCCAGCGCGCACAGAGCCCAGTGCCCTCTGCAGCCCACGCACCCAGTGAAGGGACCCCAGATGCTCCTGTGCCGCTGGGAGGGGGGCGCGGCAGAGGGCGAGGGGCTGTGGGAGGGGGGAGAGGTGGCAGCGGTGGGGGAAGGGCGGGAGCAGGAGGGAGAGGGAGAGGGAGGGGGCCGGGGTCAGTGTCAGATGTGCTGTCTGCGCCTGCAGCAGCTGCTGCGCCCCGTGCGCCCTCCCCCACTGCTGCCGCTGCTGCTGCACCTCCTGCTGCGCCCATTGCCCCTGCCTCTGCCGCCACTGCACGCCCCACAGACGCCCCTCGCATGCCTCAGCAGCGGTTGCTGCCTGGAGCAGGGGCAGGGGCAGGGGCAGGGGCAGGGGCAGGGGCAGGGGCAGGGGCAGGGGCAGGGGCAGGGGCAGGGGCAGGGGCGGGGGCAGGAGGGGGGAGGTGGGCGGGGGCGGGGGCGAGGGCGGGGGCCGGGGCTGGAAGGGGGAAGGGGGCGGGGGCGGGGGGTTGAGCGACAGACAGGTGATGGCAGGAGCGGGCAAGCAGCAGGTGTGGAAGGAGGAGGGGGAGGGGGAGGGGGAGGGGGAGGGGCAGGGGGAGCAGGAGGAGGTGGGGGAGCAGGAGGAGCAGGAGGAGCATCAGGGGCAGCAGCAGCAGCAGCGGCAGCGGCAGCAGTGGAAGGAGAGGAGGCGGGCATGGTGTTTCAGCGGTCCATCAGTCTATCCGCGCGCCTCTTTGCTGACAAGGACGCCATGGCCGCCCCTCTCGGAGGTCCCCTTGATGGCCCTGTGGGAACGGGCATAGGAGCGGGTGGGGGAGGGGCGGAGGGGCGGGGAGGGGCTGGGCGGGAGGGTGAGGGTGGAGGGGCGCCTAGTGCGCCGGCAGATGGTGTTAGATCAGGCGGAGGGTCGGGGCGGTTGGGTGCGGGGCCAGGCGGTGGTGGCAGGGGGCGGGGCCGTGCGGGTGGGAGGCGGCACATGCGGTTTGCGAGTGTGGACCTGAGCCGTGCTGCTGACGGCCCGGGCTTTCAGGTGGGCAGCCTGGTGGGGGACGATTCCACAGTCCACTCGTCTCAGCTGCCATTCCTGCACCCACGGCCGCCGCCACAGCAGCCACAGCAGCCACAGCAGCAACAGGTGCAGCAGCAGGCGCAGCAGTTTGGCCAGGGGCAGCAGCAGCGGCGGCAGTCACCTCTCCATCGCGAGAGGTCCCCCTCCCCCCCCCCCTCCTCATCATCCGCATCGCCATCTGCACCAGCAGCATCGGCACCACCACCAGCATCAGCATCAGCATCAACATCTACAGCAGCAGCAAGGCAGAGGCAGCGCATGGTGTGCACGGTGGCGGGCATCCCCGCCTCTGACTCCCTCCCCTCGCCCACCTCCCACCCGCCCTCCTCCGCCCCCCGCCCTGCCGCTGCCTCCGCATCCCTCCGTCCCCTCCCTGCCACGTCCCACCCATCTCAAGCTGCCGCCTCGCCCATGCGTCCGCGCCCCCCTTCAGGCTCGCCCCCCTCTGCGCGCCCTGCACTCTCCCACGTGCGCCACCCGTCCTACATCTGGCCCCACGTGCACTCCGCTCCCTCCGCTTCCTCAGCTAGTGCAGCAGCACCCGCAGCACGGCAGCAGCAGCAGCAGCAGCAGCGAGCTCAGGAGGTGCCGGTGCTGCTTCGGGTGCTGCAGGTGGCCGTGCTGCTGCTTCTTCCGCACCTGCCCTTTCCAGTGCTGCCGCTCCTGATACTCCTGCTCCTGCACGTGCTGCTGGCAGTGCGGGCAGTACTGGCAGTGCTGGCAGGGGCTCGGGCGTGGGAGACACAGCAGAAGCAGACGGGGGAGTGTCGTCCCCGCCCAGCAGCAGCGGGGGCGAGTGGGAGCACTCACCGGACCACCTGTTCATGCGCCACCAGACCACGCCCTGCCGCCTGCAGGGCGCGCACGACCACGCACTCGCTCACGACCTCTCGCACGGGCTGGTGCTGTCCCCTGCTGCTGCCCCTGGGAGCGCGGCGTCGCTGGTGTCGGATGGGCCGGGGTCGGAGGCGGGGAGCTCGTGGGGCGATGGCGACCAGTGGGAGGCGCACATGGCGCTGCACGGCGGTGCGGGGCAGGCGGGTGGGGCGGATGGGCATGCGGAGGGGCATGCGGAGGGGCATGCGGAGGGGCATGTGGGCGGGCAGTGGCATGGCGGGCAGCAGCAGCATGAGAGGCAGTTGTCTCCTCTGAAGCCTCGGGACGCATCCCCACAGGGGAACTTGCAGCAGGCCCTGCCTCACCACCAGCAGGCCGCGTCTTCTCTGCGCACACCGCCCCGCCGCACCCCCCCGCAGCAACAGGGGCAGCAGGGGCGTAGTGCTGCCCCATCTGTCACCGCACCCTCTGCCATGCCGCCCAGTCTCACACCCGCCCGCTCGCCTGCCCATGCCACCTCTTATGCCGCTCACCTCACTCCCCTGCAGCGGCAGCAGCAGCAGCAGCTGCAGAAGCTGCACCAGTCACAGGCCGCCCCCCCACAGGGGGGATTCCGCAGCGTCAGTGTGGGCGGCCCACACAATAGCTCAGCCTACTCCTCCAAACCCTCTCACCCCGCCCTCCCCCCAGCCTCCCCCCAGCGCCCCATTCCCGGCTTCTCCCCTCTGATTGCCGCACGCAATTCCATGTCTGCCCCCGCCGGGCAGATGAAACACCGCAAGTCGGGCAGCTTTGACAAAGCCTCGGGGAAGCGGCGGGTTCCGGGCAGCCTTGGAAAACTAAGGATGAACAAGGAAAGGGGGTGGTGGGGTGGCAGCCCAGGGGTGGGGAGCGGTGCTGCTGCTCATGGCAGTGGTGCTGCTGGTGGTACTGGTTCAGCCGGTGCCGCAGCTGCTGCTGCTGCTGGTGGTGGGGGAGGTGGTGGGAGGAGGCATGCGGGAGCAGCAGTGGGTGGTGGGGGCAAGGCGTCAGTGGCATCTGCCCTGATCAGCCCACGCATTGTAGGCAAGTCCATCTTCTCGCGCTCCGCCACCACCGCTGCGCCCTCCTCCTCCTCCGCCTCCCACTCCACCGACCCTGACGCTGACTCCCACGGGCCCTCCAAGGGCAACTGGCGGCGCCTCGTGGGGAAGAGGGCAGGCAGCCCGCAGCACAGCAGGCGCGGGCACGGGGAGCAGCAGCAGCAGCAGCAGCAGCGGGCATGGCGGGGTGGTTTCACGCGCTGCTCGCGCCGTGACGGGGTTTAAAGCCGGGCACAAGGGGGGCGTGGGGCACAAGTTGGGGTTTAAGGGCATGGGGGCGGTGAGCCTGCCGCTGATGGGGGGAGGAGGGGGGAGCCATGGGGCGATGCATGAGGGCATGAGTCTGCTCAGTGCAGGCGAAGAGGCTGTAGCCCTGGCATTAGCAGCGGCGGCGGCAGCGGCAGCAGCAGCAGCAGCGGAGGTGCCGTGGGTGGCGATGGTGGCGCCGGGGGAGGAGGGCGAGGGCGAGGGCGAGGGCGAGGGCGAGGGCGAGGGCGAGGGCGAGGGGTTGCTGCTGCCGTCCCCGCGTGCAGGGCTGGCGTCGCCGCTGCCGTTCAAGGCGGGCAATGAGTGGGCGATGGAGGTGCGCGCTCACATGCAGTGCGACGAGACCGCCAGTGGGAACTACGAGCTTTGGGATGAAGAGCTCTCTGCTCCTGCTGGTGCAGGTGGGGAGGAGGGTGCACCAGCAGCAGGAGATGCGGAAGGGGCAGCAGCAGGAGCTGGAGCAGCGGCGGCGGCGGCGGCAGGAGCAGGAAAGGAGGGGGCAGTGGGGGGTGCGAGTGCAGGGGTGGCAGGCAGCACAGGAGGTGCGGAGGGTGGTGGGGGGGATGAACGCGTGGGGCTGCAGAACATGCTGCTGCTGGACGTGTACCCCGCCCTCTCCCCCCTCGTGCTCGGCGCTCGCAAGGCACCCCCCCGCCCACCCCCTCCTGATGCTGACGCTGATGCTGGTGAGGGTGCGGGGATTGAAGCAGAGGTTACGGGAGGTGAGGGTGATGGGGAGGCACAGCGTGAAGGTGAGGAGGAGCGGGGTGATGTGCAGGTGGAAGGTGCGGTGGAGGCAGGGGGGATGGATGGAGAGGCAGGCGCAGGTGGGATCCTAGAGCAGGTTAGCATTGCAGAGCTGGAAAGCAGTTCAGCACAGGAGAGTCAAGGCTGTGGGCAGGGGATTTCTGGGGAAGCTGCACCTGTGCTAGCTGGTGCAGTGATGGACCAGGAAGCGAGGGGTAGTCTGAAAGAGGTGGCTATTTATCAGCCTGTGCTTGTATAGAGTTGAATGCATCCATGTATGTGCATGTTGCAATGTATTGATTCCAGCAGCCAAGATTGACAAGACGCACCTGGCATGTGCTGAAAGATTAGTCAAACAGTAACAAGTTGCCAAATTTATTTTTGTGAGCGATCCAGGCATGATGGTAGAACAGAGATACTGGTGACTAAAGGCAAATCTGCTCTATACACTCAAAACTGCCATCATAAATACAGCAACTTGATTTCCCTTAACATCTCTGAACAGTATAATGATGCTTCTCTTCCTTGTTCGTCTATCGGAGAAGCCACTGAAGTTCCACTTTTCTCTCTGTCACACTTCCTCTATCGCATTCCACAGCACCAAGCCCCTCCGCGCCACCATGCAAATCACCCAAGCCCCCAGCGCTCCCGCTTTCCGCAACCACGCTCTGATTACCACCTTCCGCTCGCTGCAGCTTCTGCTGGCACCTGGCGCGCATGAGCGCGGCGAACTGGTGCAGCGCGGCGCGCGCAGAGGGCTGTTGCGATCCGCGGAGCTGGCTGTGCAGGAACACGAGGAACTGGTTCACGTTGCTTCCAAACTCCGGCTTTTGCGCCACGCGCTCCCGCAGCCGCCCTACCGCCACGTCCCACTTGCTCAGGTTGCCGTGCGGAAGGGAGGAGCGGAGGGACGACGTTAGCTGGTCGTAGCGGGAGAGCCGCTCCGCCAGGCTGAGTGTAGCATCCGGCTGTAGCGCGCTCGGCGAAGCGCCAAGAGTCCCCGAGGTTTCTTCGTTTGGAGGAATTCTTGACGCGACGGGAGGTGCGGCTTCGGTTAGCGCAGGTCGTTTCGAGAGTGGCCGAGGTGGTGAGCTTAGCGGCGTCTTGCGGTGGCTGCTATTCACCTCCTCGTCCTCCGCCGCCACTTGCGCGAACCTCCTCTTCTTCGCGAGCGCGGGAACATCCCCTCGAAGCGCAGGCTCGTCCGACCGAGGCTCTTCCGCGCCGCTGTTAGGAGGAGCGCGGATGGCGGTCGGTCGGAACAGCACCTGCGCGTCGTGATTGTCACTTTGGTGCGGCGCATGCGGATATGCGCTGTCTGCTGCTGGTCTCGCGCGGAGAGCGGCAACGGCGAACGCGGCCGCGGGGTTGGTGTGTGCAAGGAGCCAGGCAGGGAGGGTGGAGCCTGCGGGTCTGTCTTGGAGCAAAACGCCGAGCTGCTCCTCCCGCTGCGCGGGGTCGCGCGATAGCTGCTGCAGGAGCATGGCGGGCTGCGCGCGGGAAAAGGTTGGACCTGGAACTGGCTTTTGAGAGGCAGTGGCGAACGATCGATCTAGCGGCATTGCAAGGAACTGAAGCGATGACATGAAGCGATCGAGGAAGCTAGAAAGTATTCACGACGTTTTACGAGCGACGTAGAACACAGAACTGAACCGAACTAAATGCATGCACGAGCGCGTTTGCTTTGCGAATGAAATCAGTGTCGAAGCTTCTATTCCACCCTTGCGCTGCTGGTGTCTCAGCTGAGGTCTATAAATCCAAGTTGAGTTGGTAATCCAGTCGCACAAAGTTTTGTGTGTGCTGGAGAAGGACCGTCCTCCATGGATCCTCTTCACCTTGCTGTCGTGCGGTCACAGCCTACCACAACTCGACTCGCCATGACAGCGCAGCACCGCGCAGAATCAGCAGGGCCAAGGAGAGGCGAGGGAGCGAGGGAAGCAAGAAGCGGAGAGGACAATGCAAAAAGCGCACTGCATCCGTTCAACGCCCCCTTGAGCTTACCTCCCCAGCTTACTCAGCAGAATGTCGCACCTCCCATTCGCCAATGCTGCAAGCCATGCCACCCGGGCCGCGCTCAAATCTCCACCGCGACTTGGCCGTGCCGCGATGTTCGCTACTGTGGCTGGGAACCCACGGGGAGTTTGTCACGGGCGAGGTGTCCAACCGCCTCAACCACGTCAGCAGCGAAGGCCTTTAGGTCCTGCTTCGCACACCTGGAGACGAAAAGGGTAGGCAGTGGCTGGGTACTGGCTGATTGTCGAGTTGCGCTTGTACGTTGGCACCACGTCACTCGGTCAACCGCGTAAACATGATGCGAATTCGTTTTGTGATTGGTCGGTCATTGACACCTGGCCAGGTTGCATAATGCTGAGGCCAACCGCAACTGAGTTTGCTGCGCTGGGTTTGGGAGTGCCTGCAATGGGTGGTTGGACTGAAAATAGTACAGTACAACATTGCAGTACAGTACACCGTTTTGCGCCTCCAAGGTTCAAAATGATCTGGCCTCGCAGGCCAGCATCGCGCAGGTGTCCAGGCAAGCGAAGCTTCGTCACGCAATTTCGCCGACAAACACACGAGTCTTAGGTGGCCACAAGCACGCGCCAGTTGCCCGAGCCTGCGTTGTTGGTTGGGTGTCGGGCATCCCTCCCCCGTGGCCGTGCGCTCGCTCACTCAGCAAGTTCCATTCGTCAATCACGGTTTGGCTCGGTCCAAACAGAAGAAAGCCCAATCAAAACTGCAGAGAGCTCATAATGTGAGGTTAAGTGTAGCCCATGTAACGTACTCCCTGCTTTCATTCTTCAAATGTAAGCCTAATGGCTTAGACAAAACACCCTAGCACCAGGGCAATAATCCACTTTTCTGAAGAGATATCATAGACACGTACGCCTTATTACTGGTTTGCTTATGTTGTCGCATGAGCACAGAAGTTGAACATCAGCTCATCAAAGTGAGGACGTTTGGATCAAAGGAGTGCACTTGTTTGCTCTTTCTCCCCCTTTTCCCACGACCGTCCAAGCTGGCCCCAGCCCTTCGTTCAACTGGCTTCTCCAGAACAACCCACAGTCTCTGCACATGCCTGTGCGGCACCCCTCCCACCACTGCATCCAGCTTCCTCACAAACACAACACGATACGCCAGCCGCTCCAGAGCCGCCTCATACAGTGGCATTGCATCCGCGCTGTGCTCTATCGCTTCCAGCCAGAGAATGCCGCCCGGCCTCAGCACGCGGTCCCAGTCAAAGAGCGCGAGGTGGAAGTCCCTGGGCGGCAGAGCGTCGACGCCCTGCAGGAGGGCAGGGCCGGCGGTGCCGATGGCATGGAGGAGGTCCAGTGAGGCGTCGAAGAAGGGAAGGCGCGCTGTGAGAGGCATGTCCACCGCCACCAGGCCCCGCCATGCCACTGCCTCCTGAAACGGCACTGCCACCCTGCTGCTGCTGCCACTGCCACTGGTACTGCTCGTACCGCTGCCGCTGATGCTGCTGCTGCTGATGCTGCTTGCAGTAGTGTCCCCAGCAGTTCGGCCTGAAGGCAATTGCGAGGCATCAGGGTAGCCAATCAGGTTGGACTGAACAGTGAGGATGGTCACATTGTGCAGTGCCATCTGGGCGGCAAACTGGCCTGTTCCGCCGCCCAGGTCCAGCCCCAACCGCACACCACCCCCCTTGAGGCGCATGAGATGGCGAATGTGGAACATCTCTCTCGCACCTGCCTCCTCCACACTGCCACTCGCAGCACGAGTCATGGGACTGCTGCGCCCACTCCTGCTACTAACTCTACCACTACCACTGCCACCGCTATGGCTGCCTCCGCCACTCTCGCTGCTGGCGGAGGGCCGCGTGAACTGGAAGCACGCGGCCCCACCCGCCCATCCGTCCCTGCTGCACCCGCTCCCCACGTCTGCCCCTCTTTGTCCCCCATCCTGTCCGCCTGCCCGTCCGCTCCTCCCCCTCCCCGCTCATTCTGTTTGCCTTCCCCCTCGCGCCTCTCCCAGGGGAATGGGTCCAGGCTCGAATTGACCTTTCGCGCTACAGCCGCTACAGCTGCAGCGTCCGCAGCAGCGTCAGCAGCTAAGGCTGCCAGTTTGCGCTCGATGCATGCCACGTCAGCGCAGTCGTAGCGCTCCCACCGCACGCTGCGGCCGTCCAGCGGCGTCCAGAGCGCCTCCGGATGCGGCGGGGGATTCACGGGGTCAGGGGGGGTGCGGGAGAGGCACGCGCGCGGAGGGATGACGTGGCAGTGGTCGGTGAAGCGGAGGCGGTGGGCTAGCTCCCAGTCGTCGGGACACGTGGAGTGCGGATGGAAGCGCAGGAATTGCTTCAGTTCCGCGTCAGATGCGGCGCATTCGCTGAGTCTGTCCGCCTGCAAGCGCGTCAGATGCGCGTCCCGCCTCCGCGCGTACTCCGCGGAAAGAGAATCTGCGCCGCCCTCCCCGCCGCCCCCAGCGCCGTGATGCACGGCGGAGATCGCGCTCTCTGCGAGCCAGCGCTCATCGAGATCCCCCCCGCCCGCCGAGGCATCGTTATAAGCACTCCTCGCAGCCACGCGCCGGTGCACGAGCTCCCCCTGGCATTTGCGGAACGCCGAGCGCAAGGCGGAGACGTCAGCGGCGGTGTCGGGGCAGTCGCGGAAGGGCGCGGGGGGCTGGGGGAAGTAACGAGAGAGGAAGAGGCGAAGGTGCAGCAGCGAGAGCGCGGTGATCGCGAGCAGGCGGAAGGGCGTGCAGGAGCGCGCCGCGCGAGTCATCAGCGAATCGCGCGCCGTGTCGCGACGGCGGCCATACGGAGGTGAGGCGAGTGGATCGGGCTGATCGTGGCAGCACTGGTGACGAGCTACTTAGGACGTGATCTGACCGTCCCGTGCGAGGAAGTGTGCTGCGAACTCCATAACAAATTGCGACGATCGCAAATCAAGATCCGTCGCTGAACCATCCAGAAATTGTTTTACCGATTTGAAAAGTACACAAGGTCGCACTGTGGCAATGTTTGTCTTCGAGTCTCTCCATATCGAGTGAAAGCATTTGCCCCGCGTCTCCCAACCCAACCTCCAAGCCACCCCCACCCGCCCCACCACTGGACGCTTCACGCGAATTGGCGCCAATCGTTGCACCGTTGCCCCGCAGATCACAGCTGGCAGCAGCGAAAGGCGCGCCGACTGCAGCATGCGCGCCCATCAGCCATCTCAGGCACTCACGTCACGCTCTTTCCGCTCCTTCCGCTCCCTCCGTGCGCCTCCCACCCCCCACGCGACCGCTCCATGACAGTTCCCGCTGCCATTCCCATTCCCGCTCCCGCTCCTCATGCTGTCGTCACAGCCGCTCCTCTAGCGCCGCTCGTCTCCGCCTCTCGTGAGAGGCGGAGCGAGTTGCGCAGATGCAGGCGCGACTTGCAGCCGGTAGTTTCCGCGCGCCTGCTCCCTGGCTCCGCCTCCGCTAGTCGCATTGGCGGACTATGCACCTCGGCGCAGGAAAGCAAGGCGGAGAAGCGAAGAGGGCGGAAGGTGCGGGCAGTGCAAGGGGGAGGGGGCGGCGACTTAAGGGATTTGGGGAACGGAGAGAGGGAAGTTGAAGGGGTGCGTGGGGCGGAGGGTTCATGGCGCGGCGGCGGAAGCTTAGAGGGGGAAGTGGAGGGGGATTTAGACGAGGATTGGCCTGGGGAAGCGAAACGGGGCGGGCGGTTGCGGGGAAGGGTTTGGGCTGGTGGCGGAGCAACGGGCGGGAATGGGGAGGGCGCAGAGTGGCGCGGAAACTGGGACGATAGGGGGAGTGAGGGTGGGGGGCTGGGGGCAGCGCGAGGAGAGAAAGCGGCGAATGCGGCGGGAGTAGGCAGGGCCGCAGGGGAGGGGGAGGGGGAGACAGTTGTCACGTTGGGGATGCAAGATGATGAAGAGGAGTGGGAGGAGGGGTGGGAGGGGGAGGAGGAGGAGGGAGAGGATGATGATTGGGAGGTAGAGGGGGATTTGGATGAAGACGAGGAGGGGTGGGGAGGGGGGGGCGGCGCGGGCAGGTGGAGGGTTGGGGGAGGGAAAGGGCGGGTGAGGCGGTATGACGTGGCAGGCGGTGGAGCACGCGTGGCATCTGACGTGGCACGGGGGAGCAGGGGCAGGGGCGAGGGGGCAGGGGGAGCAGCAGGCAGTGCAGGCGCGAGTGGTGGTGCGGCCTCGGGCCGTGGCAGCACTGTGAGAGGTCCGCCCTCTGAACCTGCCGCTGTGGCTGGTAGTGCTGCTGCTGGTGGCGCTGCCAGCACCAACACCGCTCCCACTGGCAGCAGCAGCGGCACTTCCAGCCTCACGCCCATCCCCACGCCCATTCCCGCGCCCAACCTCATGCCCACTTCCGCGCCCAAACCCACGGCCATCCCTTCAGCCGCCCCCAGCAGCACCGGCAGTGGGGACAGCGCCCCCAGTGGCGCGTGGCGGCTGCGCCTGGGCGCCCTGAACGCGCTCTCCTCCCTGAGAGCCGCCCAGCAGCAAGATGCGCAGCTCATGGCGCTGGCGCACGGGGGGGAGGCGGAGGGGGAAGGGGCGGAGGGAGGGGAGCTGAAGGGGAGGAAAAGGAGCGGACACAGGCAGGAAGGGCGGACGGGGCAGAGGAGGGGCCTGGGGTCGAGGGGGGGGTTGGGGGTCGGACCAAGGGGAGCGATGCAGCAGAGGCTGCGGTGGGGGGGCGGGAAGGGAAGGGCGAGGCGGAAGTGGCGAGTGCATCAGGCGGGCAGGCAGGGCAGGGCAGACAGGGTGGGCTGGGAGCGGGCATGCTGGAAGCACTCAAGGCAGCAGCTGCCGCTGATGCTCAGAGCAACAGCATAAAGCCAAAACCCTCCGCACCCGCATCATCACAAGCATCATCCCCATCCGCCTCCCCAGCAGCAGGATCATCCCCAGGGGGCGTGTCGATATACGTGAACTGTTCATCAGTGGGGTTACAGCGAGTGGCAGTGGTGGAGGAGGGGCGACTGGTGGAGCTCATAGTCGCCTCCACGCCGCCCCCCTCCCTCCCCCAGCCTGCCCCGCCCTTCCGCTCCTCCCGCCTCCCTCCCATCCACCCCACCACCACCACCACCACCACCACGGCTGCTGCTGCTGCTGCTCCTCCATCTGCTCCTCTCAACCCACTCACCCCACCCACCCCACCTACATCCTCATTCCCAGCCGCGTCAGAAGCAGGCATCAGCGTTTTCCCTGCACCTCCCTTGTCTTCTCCTCCCCCTCCCCCGGCCCCATGGGGGGTGCGAGTGGGGGACGTGTACCTGGGGGTGATCCGCTCGCTGCATCCGGGCATGAAGGCTGCGTTTGTTGACATTGGGGGCGCCGCGCCCTCGCTGCTCAACCTGGCTCATAATGATCGCCCCCTCACCTTCCCGCCCACTGGGGGTGACGGCGCTGGTGCGCTGGCACATTCGTGGGATGCTACGGTTGTGGTGGGGGGCGGCGGTGGGGAGACAGGCGCAGGGGCAGAGCGAGAGAGAGAGGCTAACACAGGGGGAGGCAGAGAGGCAGAGACAGGCGGTGATGCGGACACAGGCGGAGGCAGAGGCATAGAGAATGGTGCGGCCGCAGGTTTGGAGCTAGGTACGGGTGCAGGGTTGGAGGCAGGTTCGGGAGCAGGGCTGGATGCTACGAGGCACTGGGAGACGGTGGTGGGCAATCGGAGAGAGGAGACAGTAGGTGGGGCGGGTGCTGTGGCGGACGGGAGTGCAGGCGTGTGGGTGGGAGTGGGGGTTGAGAGTGGGGGGTTGCTTCAGGGATGGGCGGCGAGAGGGAGGGAGGAGGGGGGTGCAGTGGTGGTGGCAGGCATGCAAGAGGATGAGGAGGATGGGCATGATGATTATGATGATTTTGAGGAAGAGGAGGAGGAGGATGAGGGTCTAGAAGAGGACTTGGAGGAGTGGCATGAGGATGAGGTGGATGAGGAGGGGGAGGAAGAAGAGGAGGACGGTGAGGGAGAGGAGGAGGGAGATGAGGAGGATGAAGGTGAGGAAGAGGAGGAGGGAGAGATAGTGGGTGATGAAGACGAGGAGTGGATAGGAGAGGAGGAGGATGAAGAGGAGGGGGAAGAGGAAGTGGAGGAGGAGGAGGAGGAGGAGGAGGAGGAGGAGGAGGAGGAGGAGGAGGAGGAGGAGGAGGAGGAGGAGGAGGAGGAGGAGGAGGAGGAGGAGGAAGGGGAGGAGGAAGGGGAGGAGGAAGGGAGGAGGAGGAGGAGGAGGAGGAGGAGGAGAAGGGGAGGATGAAGTGGAGGAGTGGGAGGATGTGGATGGTGAGTTTGAGACTGACCTTGAAGATGAGAGCAGTGATGCCGATGATGCTGCTGCGTCTCACTCACATGCTCATGCGCCTGCTGATGCTCATGCTGACGGAAATGGGGGTGTTATGCCGCAACAATTGAAAGAGTCAGAAGAGAGTGAGGATGAGAGAAGGGAGTGGGAGAGTGTGCAAGGGGATGCTGAGGAGTTGACTGAGGAGGAGGAGGCAGAGGAATACGGAGGGTGGGAGGAGGAGGAAGAGGAGTGGGAGATGGAGGAGGAAGAAGAGAGGGCAGATGGGAGGCGGCAGAGAAGAAGGCTGTGAGGAGGCGAGGCATGGGTGCTGAGGATGATTGTGAGGATGATGAGGAGGACGAAGACGAGGAGGAAGAGGAGGAGGAGGAGGGGGAGAAGGGGAGGAAGACGAGGAGGTGGAAGAGGAGGAGAGCAGTGGGGAGGAAGAGCAGAATCATGGGGGTAAGCAGAAGCCTAAGGAGGAGGAGGAGGAGGAGCAGGAAGCAGAAGTTGAGGTGGTGGGGAAGGCTGGGAGTGGGAGTGACATTCGGGTCTCCACAAACGACGTAATCGATTGCCTGCCTTCGCATGCCATCTCTTCCCTCTCTCTCACTCAGCACGTCCGCACGCTTGCCCCACTTTCCCCCTCCCCACCCTCCATATCCCCTTCCCCCTACCCCTTCCCCCCCTACCCGCGCCTGCCCTCCCCTCGCCACCCCTCCCCCTTGCGATTGCATCAGCAGACCCCCCTGTTGACCCTGCTGTGCCCTCACCCCCACAACTTGATGCCCTCCACGCGTCGCCCACCGAGCCCACCTCTCTCCACCCGTCTGCCCCTCCGCACCTGGCTGTCAACCCTGTCCCGCTGAACCCCAAGCCCTCCCTCCCTCCGCCACCCCTCTCCCCCGTGCCCGCTCTGCTGCTGCCCCGCCTCTTCCTGTGCCAACCCCCACCTCCACCACTGGCAACAGCAGCAGCGGCGGCAGTGGGAGCGGGGACGATGAGGACAGGGAGGGTAGGAGGGCAGATGAGATGGAAGCGGAGGGAGAGGAAAGAGAGGCAGGCGAGAGGGCAGAGGAGCATCAGGAGCAACAGCAGCAGCAGGAACAACAGCAACAGCAGGAACAGCAGCAGCAGGGGAGGCGGCAGCAGCAGGAGCAGCAGCAAGACCCCCCTCTGCGCCGGCCATCTGGCCGCCCTCGCCTGCTCTCCCTCGCTGCCACCCTCCCCCTGCCCCTCTCCCCCTCCCCCCGCCGTCGCTACTCCGCCCTGCTCTCCCAGCAGCTCAACCTCCCCCTCCCCCCCGCCCCCCCCGCCCCTGCCAGCGCCAGGGGGAGGAGGAAGCGGGGGGGAGGTGGCAGCAAGGGCAAGGGGGGAAGGAGGGTGCTGGAGGCGGGGGTGGGCGGAAGGCATAAGGGGGGGCGGAGGGGAGGGCAGTGGACAGAGCACGCAAGGCGGTGCAGAGGAAGGGGCGGTGAGGGGAGAGGGGGAAAGGGGGTAGCGGGTTGGCAGATGCTGCCAAAACAAGTGAGTCCACACGGGGGGTTGAGCCGCTGCCAGGGGTGCGCCGGCCGAGGGTGAGTGCGCCGGCCTACGCTGCGGGCGGCAGGCCGAGTGGCAGTGTGCCGGCCTACAGTGCGGGCGGCAGGCTGGGCGGCGGGCGGCTGACAGTCATCCCCGGCTCCCGAGGCCCAGGAGCCGCCGCTCGGCCGCGTGGTCGCTGACGTGGCGCCAGCTCATGGAGTCGCGGCGGGCGGCGAGAGAGAGCGAGCGAGACGCGCGGGGGGCAGTTGAGGGAGGGGATAGCGGGGGGACGAGGGGGGAGCGAGGGGAGGCGAGGGAGGGGGGGGAGGAGGATGAAGGGGAGCGGGGGGAGAGGAGGAGGAGGAGGAGGAGGAGGAGGAGGAGGAGGAGCAGTATGAGGAGTGGGGGGAGGTGCGGGCGGGGATGCTGATTCTGGTGCAGGTGGTGCGCGGGCCCATCGGCGCCAAGGACTCCGTGCTCAGAGCCTTCCCCGTGCTGGCTGGTCGCTGCTTTGTGAGTGCCCCTTGCACTCTGCCATATCTTCTTTGCACTCACTACTTTTCCCCCTCCCTCTTGCCTCGTCGCTCTCAACCCTCCTTTTCTCTCCAACCCCTCTCTCCTCATCCTCTCTCGCCTGCCTCTCCCCCTGCTCACCCCTCTCTCCGCCCATCAGCGGCTGGTGCTGCGGGGAACAGGCCTGGTGATGCCGAGGGGGTGGCAGCAGAGGAGGCAGCACGCATTCAGGCCATTGTTGCCCGCCTCGCACCCACGCGCTCCTTCTCAATCCAGGTGCGCCCCTGCCCCTGCCCAATGCACATGCCCTGCACTGCACCGCCTTACTCCAGCCGCCGTCACCTCTCTCTTCCCCTACCCCCCCCGCTCTGCTCTCCTTTCCTCACCGCTCGTCTCCCCTCCCCACTCCCTCCCATGTCCGTCCCTGCTCCCCTCTAATGGCGCCGCCCGCACGGCTGGCCGCCTGCCTCTGCATCCGCCCCACCAACATCTGCAAGCACCGGCAGGCGGCGGTGGGGAGGGGGGAGGCAGAGCTGGGGGAGGATCTAGCGGAGCTGGTGGCGCGGTGGAGAGCCACTCCCCTCCCATGTCCGTCCCTGCTCCCCTCTAATGGCGCCGCCCGCACGGCTGCCGCCTGCTCTGCATCCGCCCCACCAATCGTGCAAGCAGGTGGCGGCAGGCGGCGGTGGGGAGGGGGGAGGCAGAGCTGGGGGAGGATCTAGCGGAGCTGGTGGCGCGGTGGAGAGCGGGTGCTGCGCGTGCGAATGCGGTGGCAGGGCATGTGAGAGCGTGAGGCGGATGTACCCGCTGTGGGCCCCACGCTGCTGCTGCAGGGCACACCCATGGCCCTTGATGTCATTCACTCGCTGCTCGTGCAGCACCACCAGGTGGGGGATTTATGAGACAGCCCATGGCAGTCGGCAGGGTGAGTGGTGAGGAGGGTTGAGGAGGGGGGGAGGGGGGGTGAGGGGGGGTGAGGGGGGGTGAGGGGAAACGATGGTAAGAAGAGCGAGTGGTTGGCATAGATGTCCGAACAGACAGGTGCAAGCAGCACTGGCGGGCATGGGCGTGGAGACGGTCGGTGGTGTTTGACGATGGGCTCAGCGCGGGGTGAGTGAGAGTGTATGGCGGGAAAGAGCGGAGTGGTTGGCATAGATGTCCTGAAGACATGTGCGAGCAGCAGTGGCGGGCATGCGTGTGGAGACGGTGGTGTTTGATAATGAGCTGACTGCAGTGTGTGGGGGGTTGAGGGGAAATGGTCGAAAGCAGAGCGTCGTTTCACAGTCATAGAGCGTTCGTCCACTCACAGATAGAGCATCGACCACCAGAGATAGAGCGTCGACTCACACATAGAGCGTCAACCGGCAGAGATAGAGCGTCGACTCACACATAGAGCATCGACCGGCAGAGATAGAGCGTCGACTCACACATAGAGCGTCAACCGGCAGAGATAGAGCGTCGACTCACACATAGAGCATCGACCGGCAGAGATAGAGCGTCGACTCACACATAGAGCATCGACCGGCAGAGATAGAGCGTCGACTCACACATAGAGCGTCAACCGGCAGAGATAGAGCGTCGACTCACACATAGAGCGTCAACCGGCAGAGATAGAGCGTCGACTCACACATAGAGCGTCAACCGGCAGAGATAGAGCGTCGACTCACACATAGAGCGTCAACCGGCAGAGATAGAGCGTCGACTCACACATAGAGCGTCAACCGGCAGAGATAGAGCGTCGACTCACACATAGAGCGTCAACCGGCAGAGATAGAGCGTCGACTCACACATAGAGCGTCAACCGGCAGAGATAGAGCGTCGACTCACACATAGAGCGTCAACCGGCAGAGATAGAGCGTCGACTCACACATAGAGCGTCAACCGGCAGAGATAGAGCGTCGACTCACACATAGAGCATCGACCGGCAGAGATAGAGCGTCGACTCACACATAGAGCATCGACCGGCAGAGATAGAGCGTCGACTCACACATAGAGCGTCAACCGGCAGAGATAGAGCGTCGACTCACACATAGAGCGTCAACCGGCAGAGATAGAGCGTCGACTCACACATAGAGCGTCAACCGGCAGAGATAGAGCGTCGACTCACACATAGAGCATCGACCGGCAGAGATAGAGCGTCGACTCACACATAGAGCGTCAACCGGCAGAGATAGAGCGTCGACTCACACATAGAGCGTCAACCGGCAGAGATAGAGCGTCGACTCACACATAGAGCGTCAACCGGCAGAGATAGAGCGTCGACTCACACATAGAGCGTCAACCGGCAGAGACAGAGCGTCGACTCACCACATAGAGCATCAACCGGCAGAGAGACAGAGCGTCGACTCACACATAGAGCGTCAACCGGCAGAGATAGAGCGTCGACTCACAGATAGAGCGTCAACCGTCCGAGATAGAGCGTCGACTCACAGATAGAGCGTCAACCGGCAGAGCAGAGATAGAGCGTTGACTGACACATATAGAGCATCGACCGGCAGAGATAGAGCGTCGACTCACAGATAGAGCGTCAACGGTAGAGATAGAGCGTCGACTCACACATAGAGCATCGACCGGCAGAGATAGAGCGTCGACTCACACATAGAGCATCGACCGGCAGAGATAGAGCGTCGACCCACAGATAGAGCGTCAACCGGCAGAGATAGAGCGTCGACTCACACATAGAGCACTTCGACCGGCAGAGATAGAGCGTCGACTCACACATAGAGCATCGACCGGCAGAGATAGAGCGTCGACTCACACATAGAGCGTCAACCGGCAGAGATAGAGCGTCGACTCACACATAGAGCGTCAACCGGCAGAGATAGAGCGTCGACTCACACATAGAGCGTCAACCGGCAGAGATAGAGCGTCGACTCACACATAGAGCGTCAACCGGCAGAGATAGAGCGTCGACTCACACATAGAGCGTCAACCGG